CGATACCTCCTCTAAGAGAAATTATAATGATCTCTATATTGTATGCACTCATTTCCTGCAGCAATTTCCCATTTTAATGATACAAACTATTAAAAGCTTTTAATAAACAATAACAAATATGTTCCCATCAACATTATCGTTTAAATTTTCTACATTGTATCTAAAAAAAATATATATAATTTCCTTTAACATTAATTTTTCTTCTTTTTTGAAAATACATAAAAGGAAAAAAATCTTTAGATACAGATAAAGTATTTAAGTTTTAATGAAATCTTACATTTGTAGTTTTTCTTATAAATTTTCAAAAAACCATTTGGCCAAGCAACACAAAAAAATAAAGATTATTAATGGGAAAAAGGTATTCATGATCATAAAGAAAGAAAGACAAAAGCTAAAGTCTAGAGAAGAAAGAAGATCAAGACGATGTGTTGAGGAGAGGTAGTAGAAGTACTACAGGTAAACGCCACTTGCTAGGCTTAAAGTGATTAAAATGATTATTTGACGTTCATTAAGTTGAAACCTACATAAAATCCGGTAATAAACACAATCAACAAATTTACAAATACTTACACATACTCTAGAGTAACTGATGTCTATGCATTTTTTAATATGCAGACATTATAGCTAAACTTCATCATCATGATCAACAACATTATCATCATACTTTACTATATAGAAGTCACCAGGAAGATTCTGTTCGTAATCATAAATGCATGATGTTTATAGTGATTTTCCTTATAATTTTTTTTTCTTTTTTCTTTCTTTTTTGCTGTTAGACCAACAAAGTGTCAGCAGCATATAATATGCCACCATATGTAGCAAAATAGCTTACACACATATGTGGCATATTATATGACAAGTAAAACCACTTGTCTGTCTTAATAAGTTTTTTTTTCTGAATGGGCGTTTTAAGACAACAACAACAACAGAAAATTTATATGAATAAAATTCATATCTTTATAATATTGTATAGGAACTTATGAAAATTGATTTTTCTTCTTTTAAAACATCAGACTTTTTATGATTTTTTTTCTGTTGCTTGCAACACCATTTCTTTAATATTGTGTTTTTTCGATATACAACAGCGTCCTATCTTGTCTTAAAAGCTACCAACGCATGTGCAACAAGTAACGTAACAGCAGCAACAACAATAATAAAGTCTGGATTAATAACACTATTGGTCATAATTATAAGGAAATTTATAACTATTTCGTAATACTTATTTTGGGAATTAACTGATGAAAAAATGTAAAAAGTTTATGTTATCCATGCATCACTCGCATTTTTAGGAGTATAACCCCACTTTTTTACTACATGAAAGTTTTACTTCCTGAACGAATTTCTGTATATTATCGGTAAATCGGTATTCCACTTCTATGTAGTAAATCACTTATAAAGTAGGATAACATCTGCTCAGATCACATTCACTTTCATGATCACTTCATCTATATTAAAAAATGATCTCTCTATATTACAATATTTGCTTTAATGACTTTTGTATTCAAGATGAAATTGTCAAACACTTTCTTGTTTGGAGTCTACCTTTCCCAGTTCCTTATGCAGAATCTACCAAGAGCCGCCTTTAACATAAATGATTCATTCGTTCGATCATCAAATATAGGATCATGATTGTACCGAGTATTGAGTCGAGAATTTCTCTCAAGAGCCAAACGAATCATGGTCCTTCTCTTTTATCGGCCATTCGTAGGTTAGGGTTAGAGTTCACTCGAAGGCCTTATGGCCCATTGTAGTATAGTCAAATACTTTCTTGTTTGGAGTCTACCTTTGGCAGTTCCTTATGCTAAATCTCCCAAGAGTCGTCTTTAACATGATTGATTCATTCATTCTCGCCATAGATTAGTTCGTTCTAACATCAAATATATGCGCATGATTGTTCCGAGTATTGAGTCGAGAATTTCTCTCAAGAGCCAAACAAATCATGGACCTTCCCTTTTATCGACCATTCGTAGGTTAGGGTTAGTGTTCACTCGGCCCATTGTGGTATCCTTAGAATTGCCATTCCCATATGTTGAGAGAATGGTTCCTCCACCCTCATAATTTCGTTGACTATTTGGTTCTTACGGTCTCCGGTATTTTTAATAAAACCGATCATGTTTACTATATTGATGCATATCTGAGACAATCCAGATCATGGAAAAGAACCCTACCAAGATAGAGTAGTCTGTGCTCTTGTAAGGCAAAGGAGTTGTGACGAGTTATGCTCTATTCTAGACAATTATGCACAGTCTTTTGCACTATAATTTCGTCCAAAAACCTAAACCGATATACATCCCGCCACAGTTTAATTGTCCCAAGTATTGAATAGTGAATTTCTCTAAAGTAACAATTGAGTCGGCATTTTTCACTTTTGTCAGCCATTCAAAAGTCCTATTCGATCCCTGAGGATTATGTACAGTATTTTGCAATATAATTTAGTCCAAAGTCCTTAATTTCATTTCATCGGTAAACACAACATCAAGTATTACATTCCAGTTATCGTCTGCGGAGACGAATCTAAAATAGAGAAAGACTGGTATGTCTGAAAAGTAATGTCCTGCAATAAAAAAAACTCTGGCTAGGTCAGTTTTGGGGCTTCTGACTTTTCGAATATGGAACGAATAGGTCTTACTGTATAAAATGTACAGAATAATGTCGGAGACACCATCTTTCATTTCTTGTTTACAAAAACTTAAGAGTTGAAAGAGCAATTTGGTTTCTAAGTATTTTAAGGTCATAATTCGTACCATCCAAAATAAATGCTCTGTGTAAACTCAGTTTAGAATGTAATATTCTAGACTTCTCAGTATAAGCTGTTTATAAAACATAATTCTAACTTCAAGACTTCTAGTCCTATATGGAGTCTCTAACAATAATTATCCGGAAAACAAAATACGATGGAAACCTCTGCTCTAAAGCAGTTTTTTTATGATCCAAATATTTGAAATCAACATCGGCAGCGTATGCCGAGTACCTACATCGCCTTTCAGTTTCTTAATCTTTGATCAACCCTAAGTTTATTAAAGTCTAATGGTAGAGTCTAATGATATTTCAACAATAATTCTTATTTTTATCACTCCGACTGTGCACAACAGTTATCATGGTGTTCGTGTGTTCTATACTCGTCGAGACATCGAAGAGGCGTGTTGTCTTGTGAACAAAACTAACGACATTAAATGATGGGCGTTTTAGCTATAGTCTGAGAGTCGGTAAGGTAAAACTGGATAAAATGTTAACGTTTGTAGGATAATGAAAAAAAAAACAAAATTTCATATACGGTTACTAAATAATTGAATGACAGGATATCAGATGCGTTAACAAGTGAGAAATAAAGTCTACAGTTAATTGAAAAGTCTGGCAATATGAAAAAATAATTAAACTTGCTGATATGCAACAAAAAGTAAACAAATTTCAAAACTTAATAACTTTCGTAGGTCTTATTTAACAAGTCTTTTCTAAAAATGGATTTATTAGCTAATTTTGCCCCTAAATATAGTTACTCGCCTAAGGACGCCTATGTGTCAAAAACACCAGACAAAGAAATGCATGAATTGTCATAAGACGCCTTCTTGATTACACAGGCCAACAATTTTTATTACCCCAAAACCAAAGTATAGGTTTCTTATAGATAAAGGTTCGCTTAAGCCGAATTTCTCCAATTTCTCCATTACACCAAGTTTTCAAGTTATCGTGTCCTAGCAATCCAAAAACCTTCTGACCTTTTGACACGTTATCTTAAACCAAAGACATGTTGATTTATAAAATTTGTTAAGACATCTGAAAGTCCAAAATATTTTAAAGTTTTAAACTCTATTATACCTGCTCTCTTCTACGATTTGCTGAGATATCGTCTGTTCAAAATTTCGCCATAAATAATGGGCAATATCCAGTTTCTTAGAGGTTATGGTTGTCTTTAACTTTGAATTAAGATATCTCAAAACAGGAAGACGTTAAAACAGGAGTTATACTTTTATTGTAAAGTCGACAGATTAGACTTTCAGACGATATAACAAATTTTATAAATAAAGATATCTTCGTGTTATTATAATGTCTAGAAAACGGGAGATTTTTCAATATTTATAACACGATATATGGAAAACATAATGTAAGAAAGATATTCTAAGACCAGTTACGGATTCAGTGCTGTCTTTAGTCTTCTAAAAACGAATACTTTCAAAATGTTTTCAAATTTTGTTGCCCTGTGTTATTGTCACTTTATAACTGATGCTTTTCGAGTGATTATGAACAATGATTCGTTATATTTTTGTTGTTTAAATTACGTTTTCTGAATTTCTTTTGCGTTTTTTTTTTGCCAACAAATATATACTTAAATTTTGAATACAATTTATAGTAAATGTTGTTGTTGTAGCTAATAAACTACAACAAAACTATACACATATGACTAATCAATATAAGATGGATGATTTTAAGCCGTTACTTTAGTTTTTGACGTTTTATTTTGAAGTTTTTTTTTTTTTTTTGTTTTCGCCTTTCTTTCATTGGATTTGTTTTGTTTTGTTTCCTTTTAGCAAGAGAATAGACAGACATCGTCATTGTCGGCCTAACTGCCTAACTTGACTGTTGATTTGAGTTTTGTATAGAAGAGTATATAGTAGTAGACAATGTTTTGAAACTGTATAAACTTGAACTTTGGAACCCGGCCAATATTTATGGATGATTTGCCACAGTTTGTTTTTTGTGGTTTATTTTAGTTTTTTTTTTTTTGTTTAAAGCGGCCTTTTGAAGTTTAAATACATCAAACATAAAAGTAATATTTATTTTTTTTTTCTTAATTTCAAAGACTTTCATCATTGATAAGAGTTGAGTGCAAAAAAAAACAGTTAAAATTGTTTAGCAGTTTTTTTCTCTATTTTACTTATTGGTCACTTGCCACTTAAGCATTAACCATAAAAATTTAAAAAAAATACATATTTCCTTATTAAAATTTAAAAAAAAAAACAAAATATTTTATTAGATTCTTTTGTATTTTCTTATTGTTTCAGCATAACCGGCAGGAGTCTATATCACCTGAATATCATCGTTATGCCAGTATTGGTAAATTACCCAAGGCTGGTGTTGTGGCAGCAGGCAACTCAACAACGTCCTCATCATCATCAACATTGGCAACAACAACAGCAACAACAGCGGCAACAGCATCAGCAAAAGTTGGTTTACAACAATATACCGTTACAGCGGATATTCATAATAACAACGGTCTCATCAGCCATGGTCATAACAACAACGGTACATCATCATCATCGTCCATCATTTCAACAAACAATGGCCACAGCAACAACAATCAAACCACTACAACAGCCAGCAACAATAATAATGGCCACCATCATCACTACAACCATCAACATCACCATCAACCTTTACATGCTACAAATGGTGTTGGTAATGGTAGTAGTGGTGGTGGTGCTGCTGCAACTACTACAACTGCCACATCTAATAACTATAGCGAAATTCATGCTTCATCATTTGCCACACCACCGACACGCCGTCGTTTTTTCAATCATAAAAATTTGCGCAACGCTTTAACCGGTGTCAGTGGTGTTGTTGCCGGTCATCGTCGTACCGCTTCGAATGGTGGTGGTGTTGGTAGTGGTTGTCCCATTGATACAGCCTCGATATTATCAGAAGGTAAGGTTCAAATGTGATGTATTATACGACTATAAACTATTGGTATTCTATACAAAGTATTTTCGCAAACATACATACGTTTCTTTCAAATCATATGATTGGTTGTATGTACAGATTTAGTTGAGGACATTCATACATACATATGTGTATGCCTACCAAACCACTATGCAAATTTTCTTTTTTTTCCCAAAATCTAAAAAAAGAAACGCAAAATTTTAAATTATAGCTTTGATGATATTTGCAAAATATAAATACTTACTTTTACAACTTGCCACATTATAGAGAATGTCATCGCAGGAGTTTTTTTTTTCACAATATATTGAATATTTGAAGCACTATTTGCTTTAAGCACTTTCCCAATCCTGACATCATGTCAATCATGTGATAATGTTGCCAATCGTTTTCTCTAAAATCTTGAAGATGGTTGACAACTTTGAGTTTTAAACAAAGTCCCTCTCCGGGCAAGAGAACAGAAAATATTTAAACTGATTTAGGATCTTTAGTGTATCTGCTAATCTATAAGACTTAGTGTGTATGTTACGTTCGACGTCCTCCTGATCAGTATTCACAAAGACGTGCCCATTGGTAGACAGACCCTTGGTAGTCCTTTCCCTAAGACTTTCTAAATGGCTTTAAAGAGTCCTTATCCAGAACAACCATGATCCCTTAACGGACTTTAGAGTGATTACAGCTCTAAAAACTCTTTATCTCTTTTAATCTAGTATCCTCAGTCAATATTTGACGTTTGCCGAGCTCCTGATCAATATTCAGAAGGACGTGCTTATCAACCGCCAAATCCAAAGAAAAGGAACTTCTCTTTTGAAAAGGAATTTATTTTATATTATCGCTTTTATAGACACGAAATACGATCGAAGTCCTCTATGACTTTCTAAGCGATTAAAAAAATTCCTTATTTAGAACAACCAAGATCCGTTAATGGGCTTTAGAGCGTGGTTTACAGCTCAAAAAGATCTTTAAGATTTCTTCTAATTTAGAATACTCAGTCAGTATGTGACGTTTGCCGACCTCTTGATCAGTGTTCAGAAAGCCATGCTCTCCACCGCCGCCTCTTGCATGCAAAAGACGCCAACCATTCCAGTTATGAACTAAGCATCTGCAGAGTTTCTCTTCACAACTTCTTCAGACTTTGTTCTTTGAAGAGATATTGCCTTTGCTAGTCACGCAGAATGATCATGTTGTTGTAACAGATTGGCTGTGACTAGATGTTCTTCCTGAAGGAAAAAACTTCAGGTTGATACAGCTGTTGCTAAGTTGACAATCTTTGGCCGATTGAGAATCGTGTCGTTCCGGAGCGGAGATACAATTGTCGTGGGAACGAGAATGATCATGCCAAACCCTTAGTAGTACTTTCCCTATAACTTCCAAAAAGTCCCTATTCTTGAAGATGTCGATTAGAGCATTGAACTCGTTAAATTTCAGCACAGATCCTCCATTTATATATCTGTCACGTTGATCAGAGATCATAATGTTGTCCTCAATAACAGCTTCATCCATCCACTCAAAGGAGATGATTTAGACATCTTCAGTGTTCATTTGATCTTTTTCAGATCTTTCCCGATCTCATTTCGTAAAATCTCTTGTAGGCTGGATTGCTCAGTATATATTTTATCAATGGATCTAAGCCTTTGAGGAATATCGATCAGCTATGCGCATTTCAGCTTCCACAGTTCGCTAAGCAATGAAATAGCTGTCTTAAGAGCCAATGTCTATACCAAACTCAATCTTTATGTGAATCTGGTATAATCCATAATCATTCCATTAAGGATAAGTGTCCAGATTGTCCTTGTAAACATTTCAATTGGATTTTGCCTCAACTTATACCCATTCAATTGGGATATGGTTCCATTTAAGACACTGTTTTTATAGAGTTCATTACTATAACGGCCTAATAGAGGTACAAAGCGGCTTCAAAAGTTATGCAGATGAGAATTGCGAGACCTAGGGATCTAATTGTCACAGGTTTTGATACAGAATAGATTGCATGGATGTCAAGTTCAATACAATAAATCTGCTTAGTTGTTGTTATAACTTATAGTTACATTTTGTTAACATTATTTCATGTACCACCTTTACATTTCTACATATGATCTCCCGTAAAGAGATGTGTCATCTTATTGCTTTCTTTTCTTCTAAAGTTTCTGACTTATAAGAGAGAGAAGAAAAGTAATTGAATAAAAATACGCATGATGGGGTTTCTTAAAGAGATTATATGATGATTAAAAAAAATCTAATGTTGTACTTTTTTCTTGGAATATTAACACAAAGATATTTAAATTTGATTACCTCCAACCATTTTGAAGTATAAACAAATTTAGCCTAAACACCTGTTGCTGTGAGTGAAGCGGAAATAGCAACAAAAAAATACTGTTGTCAACAAATATTTATTAAAATTAAATAAAAATTATTAAATTAAAACTAATAACGGTGGTTTTATAGATAGAGTTGACAAGGCAAAAGTGGTTTTAAATAAAAAATAAACTTTGACCTTTAGATCCAAACTTTACATAAATATTGTATAGTATATACTAGGGTTCTATAGTTGAAACGAAAAGTCGACTTTTTGCATTTAGTTAAAAGTCGACTTTTCGACCTTTCGACTTTTTCCATTTTATGAAAAGTCGATTTTTCGACTTTTCGACCTTTTTCATTTATTTAAAAGTCGACTTTTAGACTTTTCGATTTTTAGTATTTTATAAATGGTCGACTTTTCGACTTTTTCCGACTTTTTTCGACTTTTCGACTTTTTTCGACTTTTTTCGACTTTTCGACTTTTTTCGACTTTTCGACTTTTTTCGACTTTTCGACTTTTTTCGACTTTTTTCGACTTTTTCCGACTTTTTTCAACTTTTCGACTTTTTCCGACTTTTCGATTTTTTACGACTTTTTGACTATTTTCGACTTATTTCGACTTTTTTTCGACTTTTTTCGACTATTTTTTACTTTTTTCGAGTTTTTCCGACTATTTTAGAGTTTTTGACCTCTTTTCCACTTTTTTAAAATTTTTGACTATTTTCGACTTTTTTCGACTTTTTCCGACTTTTCGACTTTTTCCGACTTTTTTCGACTTTTTGACTTTTTTCGACTTTCTTCGACTTTTTTCGACTTATCGACTTTTTTCGACTTTTCGACTTTTCGATTTTTTTCGACTTTCCGACTTTTCGACTTTTTTTGACTTTTATTTACAAAGTCGACTTTTCGACTTTTTTCATAGACGATAATCGAGTTATCGACTTTTTTGGAACAAAATAGTCGACTTCGACTTTTCGACTTTTTTCGACAAAAAGTCGATTGTTCGATTATTCGAAAGTCGATTTATAGAACCCTAGTATATACTACTAGAGCTTGTGTTTAGTTCTAAGTACAGTTTAAGTTTTTATACTTAACAGGAGGTTAAACCAAATACAACTTTCAAAACAACTACCGCAATCTTTTAAATCTTAAGTCACTTTTAAACTAAACTATTTATTAGCCAATACATTTAGAGAAAAAACTATTATAAATTAGGTACCCGAAACCAACATACATTTAACTTTAAAAATAATTGTACCAACTAACTTAATTAACCATAAACTGGGTTTAACTATAGCTTAAGAACACACTATAACAAATTAACAAATTAATAAAAAATGCACTCTTACATTTATCATTCACACTCATGCACCACTCACTCACTCACTCACTATATATACCATCTCCCCCATTCATTATTCCAGGCAAAGAAACGAATGCTTTAAATACATCAACCTGTTCGGACTCGGCCGTAACACGACGCAGACGCAAGAATGTCAGTAATAAATTAACCTCATCATCATCGGAATCAACAACGGGCAGTGAAAATCGTTTAAATCGTTTAAGTTTGGCTGGCACTTCGGTGTATGCTGGTCATTTGTCATCGTTAGTTTTGGGCAAAATTAAATCGCTTTGGAGTGTAAATTCAAATTCAGCAGATGGCGGCTTAAATCAATTTACAGGCAGGACATTCTTTTAAACATTTTGTTGTTGTTGTTATTACACATACGATTTCTAAGTCATGTTTCATTTTGTGTGTGTTTTTTTGTTTTTGCATGAATTTTTTTTGTTTACTTAAGGAAAGCATTTAAAGTCCTTGTTTTGTCCTAAACAGCATGTTTTTTTTCCAGTAGTTTTGATTTTTTTAATTTCTTATGAGAATTTGCTTTATTCTAATTCTCCTGTTTTCTTATTTCTCTCTTTTACAGGAAGCGATCATTTGGTTAATGACCATTGCATTTCGGCTGCCGAGAAACAAAAAGATCAATTGAGAGCCCGTTTGGGTTTGCTGTTGGATCATGATCAAAATGGCAATACCAATACTACCACCAGCAGCAGTTCTTCTCAGAACATCAGTCCAGAACAAACTTTGGCCACTGGCAGCTCTGGTCTTTCGGTGGATCATTTTGGTGGCAGTCAATTATCGGTGGCCACTAAAGAGGATACCTATAGTTTATGCGGCAAATTGAAGGCCTGTTCTTTAACCGATAGCAATGGTTATGAAGTATTTCCGGTAAAGGCTCGCAAAGCAGTGGCCAGAAGATCGGCTCGCTCGGCTCAATTGGGTGTGAATAATAAACGTAATGCTATCTATAAATCTTCATCCTCATCTGTACAACCTGCCATTCAATTAGCATTGAAACCTTTGTTCTTTGAGGTGCCTCTACAAGAGCCAGATCCACCCTTCATTGGACGCCAATGGTTGATACGAGAACTATCGAATACCTTAACTGCCACCGAAACCCCAGGTGTATTGATTAATGGCAATCCAGGCACAGGAAAAACTGCCTTTATTTTGCAACTGGTGGAATATTCCTGTTTTGGTAGACGCAAAAATACCAATGACAGTGAACCAGATGGCATCTACTATCAAATCAGCACTGCCAGTGATCGTATGCGGGCCTTGGCCTCCTATGTAGTAGGCTATCACTTTTGTCAAGCTGATGCTAATCTAACATGCTTAGTGCCCGATTTTGTGCATTCTCTTGCCGCCCAATTATGCCAGGCTCCCCAGTTGGCTGCCTACAGGGATTATCTGCTTAACGAGCCTCACCTTCAGGACATTTTGAGTGTTAAAGAGTGTATTGCAGATGCTGAACGTGTTATGCGCATGGCCATTTTAGAACCTCTAACAATACTTAAGAGATCGGGTAAAATACCCACTAAAACTTGTGTCATCTTGGTGGACGCCTTGTGTGAGGCTGAATATCATCGTCCTGATCATGGTCACACTATTGCCACTTTTCTTGCCAAAATGACACAATACTTTCCCTCCTGGTTGAAAGTGGTGGCTACGGTGAGAACCCAAATGTTGGAGTTTGTCAAGGGTTTATCGTATACGAAAATGACCTTGGATAGCTGGGCCTCTAACGATCTGTTGCAAAAGGATATGCTGGACTATATAACGTTCCGTGTTAATAATAGTACGGATATTCAAAAAAATGTGGCGGTGATTAAGGATCACAATACCGGTCAATTGAAATTCATTGGTCATTTACAGTCTTTAACCAAGGGCTCCATGTTGTATGCTAAACTCATATTGGATCTTATAGAAAGAGGACAATTGGTTATTAAGTCCACCAGCTATAAAGTGTTGCCCGTATCTTTGGCTCAAATATTTTTGCTGCATTTCAATTTACGTTTTCCCACCTCGTGCAGTTTTGAAAAGGCTTCACCGATTTTGAATGTTTGCTTGGCAGCCTTGTATCCCTTAACACTAAATGAGATCTATTACACCATTTGTTCCATGAAAACTGATGAGGTTATGCCCTGGGATGAATTTTTACAAAGATTTAAACTATTAGATGGTTTCCTTATCAAGCGTATAGATAATACTTACATGTTTTTCCATTCCTCCTTCCGGGAGTGGTTAATACGTCGAGATGAGGGTGAATCACCAAAATTCTTATGTGATTTCCGTTTAGGACATGCCGCCATAGCATTCCGTCTATCACGTTTGCAGGCTCCTTTAGATGCAGAACAAACTTTGGAATTGGGTCATCATATGCTTAAGGCTCATATCTATCGCAACAATCAAGGACCCCAATCTCCTAGAGACATGCAATCCTTTTGGATTTCATCGGTGGCAGATAATATCTCCGCTGCTTTGGGCTCTTTACGCAATGTCTATAGTCCAAATTTGAAAGTATCTCGTTTGATTCTGCTAGCCGGAGCTTCTCCGCACTATCGCACCGAATTTATGGGTGATGCCACTATATTGTGTATAGCTGCTCATGAGGGTATAGTACCCATGGTTAGTTTATTGCTGGAATTTGGAGCAGATGTAGGTCTCACCAATAGCCAAGGTTGCACACCCTTAATATTGGCCGCCATGAAAGGTCATTGTGATGTTGTACGTTTACTTGTGGCGGCCGGCAGTAGTTTAGGTCAATGTGATACCACTCAAAGGTGTGCTCTAGTCCAGGCCGCCCGCATGGGTAGATTGAATGTGGTTAAATATTTATTGGCCTGTGATTGGACACCACGACCCAATTCCTCGGATGTTACTTTACCAGCGGCTTTACATCAGGCTTTAATAGCAGCAGCTTCACAGGATCATATTACTATATTAGAAGATCTTTTAGATATGGAAGATATTGACATCAATGTAGTGGAACCTACTTCGGGAGATTTGGCTTTGACCTCAGCCGCCCGCAATGGCTGTTTAAATACAGTGGAAATATTGCTGACAAGGGGAGCTAATATAGATTTACACAATAAACATGGTTTTACGGCTTTGGGTTTGAGTGTCAAAGAGGGTCATTGGGCTGTGGCCGAAAAACTCTTACAGAGTGGTGCTGACTTAGATGAACCGGTTACCTCGGCTAGAAAGACTTCTTTGATGATAGCGGCCGAAGAGGGTCATCTGGAAATAATGGAACTGTTAATAGAACGCGGAGCCAGTTTAGAAACTCAAGATCATGAAGGTTTTACTGCTCTCTCATGGGCCTGTTTAAGAGGTCGACAAACAGCCGCCAAAATACTTATAGACAAGGGATGCAACAAAAATCATGCCGACAATAATGGACGCACCGGTTTAGATTTGGCTGCCTATCAGGGTTCAGCCAGTCTAGTGCAGTATTTATTAGAACAAGGTGCCAATATAGAACATGTTGATGTCAATGGCATGCGTCCCTTGGACAGAGCCATAGCTTGCCGCAATATACAGGTGGTACAGGTATTCTTGAGAAAAGGTGCAAAACTAGGACCCACCACTTGGAGTATGGCGATGGGTAAACCGGAAATCTTAGTGGTTTTACTTAATAAACTATTGGAAGATGGCAATGTACTCTATCGTAAGAATCGTTTTCAAGAGGCTGCCCATCGTTATCAGTATGCTATAAGGAAAATTTCGAATTTGGAAACATTGCTAGAGAGAAGTGCTATATTTGCCCAGTTGAGAACAAATCTATTGTTAAATCTATCCAGATGCAAGAGAAAACTTAATGTAAGTAAAACCGAAAACAAACATTTTATTAGAAGATTAATAACTAACTTTTTAACTTTTTCAATAACAGGAACTTGAAGAATCAATAGATTTGGCAACACAAGCTATAGCACAAAAACCCAATAGCTATGAAGGTTATTATGCCCGAGCTAAAGCACGCATGGAGCATGGTGATCTCAATGAGGCTTTGGTCGATGCCAATGAAGCCATGCAAAAGGCTGCTCAAACGGGAGTCTTAAGCGATGTAGTCGAAGTACTAAAACGTATACAATCCGAACTACTAACACGCATAACAAATGAGGGACGTAATCAAACCTCTACATCTTCGTCCGGTTACGAAGTGTGCAGTGGTGTCATTAGTGGTGGTTTAGGTGCTGCAGCCAATTGTACCAATGGTGCCTTAGAATCTCAACATGAGATAACAGATTTGTAGTAGAGTTCTATAGATTTATGTTGTTTCTATTTTAATTTTTTAAGCATAAAACGAAATAAAAAAAGTTTTTTCTTAAGAAAAAATAACAGAATTTATAAATTTTAATTATTTTACGTTTACTTTGCGCAATTTGTATTTATTTAATATTTTGTCTTAACCCAATAAACCAAAGAACGATATGATAGCGAAAACGGTATTAGTTTATAAAGGCGATTATGATATCATATTTTAACATTGAAAACGATATTATTATAATATCGTTTTTAAATATTTTTGTTTCCAATAATTATTTGAAAAAAACTTCAAACAAAAAAAAAATAATTTAAATTCAACATTTTCAAGCGAAATATAGATAAAAGCTAATCTAATAATAGTTATTTTTAATTGTGATTAAGCTTTGAATAATAATAATAAACACGGTAAGTAATCATCTCATTTTTGCAAAAACAATATTTATCTTATGTGTATGAAGATTAAAAATGAATTGTATATGTATGTACGCAATTTTTTATTGATTAGAAATAAGAAAATGCCTAGAGTAGCGGGGAAAAGAGAAAGTAGTGCAATTTTCAAATATTATACGGAATATTCAAATTGTTCAGATATAGAAATTCCCGTCGAAGAAGAGGAAAATGAGAATGTATTTGATTCTTTCGATTCAAACAATAGTTTTAGTGAGGGCAGTGATAGAGAACAGGAGTCTTTACGTGACCAAATAGCTCAGTGGTCTATCAAACATAACATAACAAATGCTGCTCTAAACGATCTGTTAAAAATTATCAGACATAGTATACCCAATTTACCAAAAGACTGCAGAACATTGAAAGAAACACCAAGAATCTGCAATAAAGAAACTATTGAAGGCGGAACATACATACATTATGGGATAGTTAGTTTCCTTAATGAATATCTTTCACACAATAAAATTTGTGAAGAGGAAATATCTATTAATTTTAATATTGATGGTCTTCCCGTTTCCAAAAGCTCGGGATTGCAAGTATGGCCAATCTTAGGCAGTGTTAAAAAAGTTATTTTTATTGTGGGGTGTTTCGAGGGTTATTCCAAACCAAAAAATTCACAGGAATTTCTAAAAGCTTTTGTGGAGGAGTTGAAGGTTCTCATTTATGAGGGATTTACGTTTGAAAACAAAGTGTACAAAGTTTCAGTGGGCTATTTTATTTGTGACGCACCCGCCAGAGCATTTGTGCTCAATATAAAATCCCATTCAGGATTTTACTGTTGTCACAAATGTCAAATTCAAGGCGAAGTAATAAATCATAAAATGATATTTGATAATCAAAAGTATCCAGATAGGACTAATTTTGATTTCCGTAACAAAACTTTTCCAGAACACCACACAGTATTAAGCCCTAATGCTCTCGAAACACTCCCAATAGACATAATAAACAAATTCCCTTTCGATTACATGCATGTGACATGCCTAGGTGTGATGAAATCTCTATTGAAAGCGTGGTGTAAGGATAGGAAACAAAATTATTCGTTATCTTCAGCAAACATTTTAATTTTAAACTCAGAATTATTAAATATCAATTCCCACATACCACGAGAATTTAATAGAAAGTCAAGGACCATAAAAGAATTGGACCGTTGGAAAGCAACAGAACACAGGTTATTTTTGTTGTACACTGGGCCAACTATTATGTCAAAATTTTTAAGTGCTGACAGATATATCCATTTTTTAAAGCTTAGTTTGGCCATGAGGGTATTATTGGGTGAAAATGATCAACAGTATTCCCTAGCAGAGAACCTATTAAATTCCTTTGTTGAAGAAATACCTCAGCTTTACAATAGTTATTTTACAACATACAATTATCATTGCTTAACACATCTGGCTAATGATGCTAAATTGCTCGGTTCATTAAACAGCGTTAATGCGTTTGAATTTGAAAATTATCTACAAGAAATTAAAAGATTTATCCATAAAAAATCCTTCATTGGCTCTCAAATATATAACAGAATGGCAGAAAAAAGCAAATATAACATAAGAAATTTTGAAGGCAACAAAATTGAAACCAATGTATTTTTATCGTTTTTGAAGACACAAAATTACTACTTTTCAACTCAACATCCGGACAATTACATTATATTTCAAAGTAAAGTATTTAAAATTGATAGTATTATCGCAGAAGGATCCGAATACATGTTTATGGGAAAAGAAGTTTTAAATTTAAGGGACCTTTTTGAGCTACCGATGAAATCATCATATTTCAACATATTTTCGGCAAATTCTATAAATTTTTCACATGAGATATCTAAAATAAATGTTGTTTCTGTAACAAAATGTTTATGTTTACATTTTAACAATCAATTTATTTTTATTCCATTTATCCACTAAGAAGACAATGAAGCGTTCACACGATTTTAATATATTACTGGACAATGAAGAACCTGAGTCCACAAATAGTACATATAAAAGAGGTGAGAAATTGGTAATAAAAAAATATTATAAATATGACAATATAATTTTACTCATTTATCTTCAGATAAACTAGATATAGTTTTAGAAAAACTTTCCAATATCGAAGTCAAAATTACTAGCAACACAAACTTATTGGGAAGACTAACACAGGAAATTATTGTAACAAAGAATGGAATGAAAAAATTACAAGGTGATTTAGAAACTAAAAATTTAAACATTTTACCCAACACTCCATTCGAGGATCTTAAACAGTTTATGGAATTCGATTCAGACGTAAAAGATCCAGCTAAATACGCTATATTGGTAAGTATAGTATTTTCAATATTGTTGTAATATAAGTAAACATTATTATTATTGTTATTATTATTATTATGATTATTATTATTATTATTAATATTATTACAGACAAACAACTTTAGGAGAATTACGGCAAGTTCACATATGGAATTTGTTTTCAAATGCTGGAGAGTCCTTATGAAGGACTCTGTGGCGAAAAATCTTTCCTGGACTGGCACAAAACAAAAAAAATCTGTACAAGAGTTGTCTTGTACAGCTGCCATCAAAGGTGGGTTTTAATTTATCTAAAATTTTCATATATTTGCATATTAAAAATGTACATACTTTTCAGATGCCTTCATGAAAAAGTATCCAGCTGAATCTGTAGATGCCTGTGCCCAAAAAACTAAAAAATTTTTTTTGTATGCCAACGATAGATTAAACAAAATAGAAAAATACAAATCGAAAGCTAATTAAACCCATTTATTCAAATAACCGAATCCCTATTTACTTTAATTTTAATCACAGTAATTGTTTTTGCGCATTTTTATTCACTATTTGTTTTTTCACTTTCTTATATTTAAATCGCATTAATTGTTAATTAACATTTATTATTTATTATATTATTTAAAAACAAACAATACAAATATACATATACATATTTATATGTATAAATAAAAAGAATGCAAATATTTATCAAAAATGTTTTGTAGGTTAATTATAAAACTAATAGACGGTTATAAAAAATGCAAAAACCATATTTAAATGGAGATTTTACTATCGTCATTACTGGAAATTATAATACCGAAAACGATATCATAAAATTGTGGAAAAACGATATCATTAGGAAAGGTACAATTTTGTACGTAAATACTATCGTTCTCGATACGAGAACGAGTATCACTTATGATAGATTTTATCACCTAAGTGATATCGTTTCGATATCGTTATAATATCGTTTGGTTTACTGGGAATTATTAAAAAAAAATGTTTAATTTATAATAAATTATTTTACTTCATAATATTCTATAGTTTCTTATAATCTTTAATTAGTTGGAATAATTTTTCTTTATTATTATTTTATTATATTTAAAATGTTTTTTTTTTTTCAATATTTTATTATATAATATTTGATAAGACAAATAATAATAATAATAATAATACATTAAATTTTCTTTGTATGTATATTTTTTTAAGAAAAGTGCAAAACAGTTGCATGTAAAAAAAGAAAATAAACAAATATTTTATTAAATTTTAATGGGGTCCTATTTTTCAATTATTCTAATATAAGTGTATATAGGTTATATAATATAAGTATACTTTTGTGTTAGTTAGTTTCATTATAAAACAAATACTTAAAACAGCATTTATTTATATTACTAAATGGAAATGTTATAAAATATTTTATTAAGCCGAGATTCCTATCAATTCCTTTTATCGTGTTCCATTTGTTGTGCAGTTGTCAGCTGATTATTCACAAGTGGTACGAGTACTTGTAAATAGGGTTCATAGTCAGGTGCTGAAAAAAAATTTTAAAAATGTTTAAATTTCATGATTTAACTATTGCAAAATGGTTTAATTCTCTTAAATATAACATTATCACGTTCCTCATTCCCTAAAAACAAATATTCAACTTTATTGGCTGTATACTGTATGTATGCATCGAAGTAGCCTTCAATAACGTTCACACTAATGCTCTTATATGTTGACCGGCCGCTCTGTAACATTTCAGGGTAGGATTACGTACTGTTTTTCTGGGTAATTAATAGCCTCCTAGGGTCCTACCCTAAACGAGAATGGACTGAGAGATGTAATGTTATGCTTGGAGCATAGGTAATATACTTTAGCTCAGTTTTTGGATATAGAGGGAGTCATTAGACCTAATCAGTTTCAAGTTTACCTAGTGAGTTGAACAGTTTCGATGGTAAGCAACAAAATTATCAACTCAACCCTAGGAATTGAAAATATTCGGAAACAAATTACTAGGAGTACACCACAATGTATTAACATACATGCTGGCGGTCAACTCTTTGAATCTACTGATCGTATTTCTGAGCATTTAGTTAGTACTCTAGATTTCGCAGTTACCCCTTCAATAGATATTCCAATTAGGAATGAGTGTATTAGATCCGGATTACTGTTTGAAGGGTGTGCGTAGTTTAGTAAACAGTGACATAACATTGTCATACAGACTTTCAGATGAATGTAGTATCTTTCAGCAGGAGATCTTAGCAATTTGGAAAGTCGTGGACAGAATAAAGACAAACAGCAATAACTGAAAAAATATGTTGATAGTCTGGAAGCACTTCAAGCTTAGGGAACACGTTACATTCTAGCTTAAGCGTGAATTGGGTTATACAAAATAAGCTTGTGTTTTGTGCCAGGCACTGTAACATACAGTGTAACGAGATCTGATATAAATTGACTAGACGGGATTCTAATCAGGAGGATGGATTGCAGAATCTCCGAAGCCTTATTGCAAATGTTAAACGCTAAGGTAACCAGAGTACCTTTAGAATTGGATAGGAAAAGTATAAGGACTATAGTAGGAGCACTTGATGTACTCGACACTTCGCTTTTAGAGTCTTTGTAAGAAATTGGTATACAACTGCATTAGAGTACAGAGCCTGAGACGGAAATGTCTCGCCAAAAGTATCCACGATGATCTAGGAAATGTTTTTGCGGTGTGATTATCTTCCCCTCCAAAACCATTTGGAGGGAAAGACAACTCTTCACTTCACTAAGAATGAGATGGTATCCCATCTTCTTTGTAACTGTCATGTCTTAGCTGCGGCTCAAACCCGGACGCTTGGGTCGGCCTATTTTAGTGATCTATCTGACTTATCGAATGTTCGATTGAAAGTCTAATCGCGTTCTTAAATTCGACAGAATGGATATAAATCTAAATTCTCACCAAGTTGGACGTAATCATTATTACACGTATCTATTCTACGACAGTTATTCTGCCCGTTTCCTTCTTTGCCAGCTTTCCCTACTCCTCTCTTTCTATCTCCTCTATTTCTCTCTTTATACTATCTCTTTTTCTCTTCTTACAGGTATTCTTACAAAAGGATGACCCAATTGTAACCATATATCTTTCTGGTTATCTATGAAAACCTAACCTAACTTTTCACTTTTTCCTCTCTTACTCTTCCTTTGTTCTTTCTTAAAAGGAATCACAATGAACCCTTTGCGTCTCCGTGTGGATATATGTATACCTTATAGTATACAATCCGAACTAAACTAGGAGGAAGAATCCACCCGCAAGCGCAAGCTAATACTGTGAAAATGGGATGGATTAGAAATGTCACAGACAGATGTAAACATACTTTTCGACAGTCAAAAGGCTCATAACCGACTTCTCTTTCTGTGGTTAGCTCTCTATCAAATGGACACTAGGTAACTCAGAGTTTATTGGTAGCAAAAGTGTTAATTCAATTGTTATTAAGCTCAGGGAACTTGAAGAAGTTTACCTGACAAATGCAAAACCGTTCGAGACAATGACAGCGGATTTAAAAACATAGTGAGCTGGAAATGCAGGACTACGAGCATAAATTTATTATATTGCACGAGCATGTAGTGAGGTTACTGAAACACTTGAACATTTGCTCTGCCATAGCAATGGCTTGGTCAAATTAGATCCGAACTATTCGGTCGTAATGATATTTCGGATATAACATCCCTAAGGAACATTAATTGATAAATTTTAAGAAATTACGTTCAGAAGACTGAGTTTTTGAAACACTAGACTATGCTGCACTCACCAGACCCTAGCGGCCTATATGTATATCTTCATGATATGATGTTTATATTATTCTCCTTTCCTAATAATTGCAATACACACAACGAATTGTTTGGGCAGATAGAAAACCTCCAGCCAATTGGACAAAACAAATAAGGCCACCCAAATCTGGTCATGTTTATTAAATAAACAACACAAGCATTTTACTTACTTTGTTCCAATAATGTTTCCAAATCATCAGCATTCTGTAACGTGGGTATATCAGCATTTGTAGATTCTTTTAAAATAACACAAATTTCCTTAGAAGCTTTAAGCAAAAACAAAGGAACATGCATATTAGACAATTCCTTGTTTAAAGAACCAATGCCACGAGCGGCAGTAAAATCGAAATCTAATAAAAAGAAAATCTTAAATTAATAAAAAGAAATCGCTTAATATATTACTATAATTCAACAAACCATCAACATTCGAACAGTCCAATATAACAGGAGCCGAGCCATGGGTATTTATAGCCTTGGAAATACCCGTGCGTACCCATTCGGTAGCAGGGAAATATAAAGAACTGTGTTTGGGTCTTATAAGCAAATAAGAAATGCCATGAGCAGTCTAAAGAAGAAAAAGGAAATGCATAATTTAAATAAATTGAATAATGATTTCAAAAATACCTTTAATTTGTCAACAGCTAAAACAGGACGAGCTACCCGATACACCAGAAAAGCTACATCAGTGCCCACACCCAAAATTAAACCAATTTCTACACCCACCGCCAAACTGATGACAAATGTTATAGCACCGGGTAATAACTCACGACGACTGCAACGCCACAAGGGTTTAATAACCTTTAATGGGAAATAATTTTTATAATAACATTGAGTATAAGTTGTAAAGTTAAGTTGAAACTCACCTCAAACTCAATCATAAAGATAACAGCCGATATGATAACAGCACTTAGGGAGGCCTTGGGTATATATTGAAAATATGGAGCCAATAAACCCAAAGCTAATAACACCAAAGCACTAGTATAAAAGCCACCAATGGGTGTTCTCACCCCGCTGGCATGATTAACAGCACTGCGAGAAAATGAACCGGTAACGGGTATCGATGAAAAGAATGAACCCAATATATTACTTAACGAGAGACCCACAAGTTCTCTTGTGGGAGAGAGACCAGCTCCACCAAAAGCTTTTGAAATGGCCACATTACCCAAGACAGCAATTATGGGTAAAACTATCATTGAAGGACCCAATTCCTCTAACATATCCTGATAGTTTTGCTTGATCTCAGTGCCATTTGCACTTAGTATAGTAGTTTCAAATTTGGGTATTTGAAAATCGGGCAAACCCGATTTAACAGTGCCCGTTAATATAAAAGGACAGCTGTCTTTACTGTCACAGGTATAGTAGGCAATAGTGCTGGCCAGTAAAACTATCAAAGCATTACGACCAGTGGCTATGATCCATATAAAACTTTTAAGGAATGCCTGGCCATTGTTAAGTTTTAAGTCTTTTAGTTTCTGTTATGAAAAACATGGAATGGAATAATTTAGTTATAAATTAAGTATAAGATAATGGTGGAAACCTTACCCTTAATAATAGTAAAATGGTAATGGCAGTTACGCCCAAAGCAAAATCGCCCACTCTTATTTTATCTAAATTCATAAACACAGATTTCATGGTGTTGACAAAACCCGAACCAGAACCACCACGCAAGCCCAAGAGACCCTTAAATAAGAAAAATAAAGAATTTAATTAGAAATTTATATGAATTGAGTGAGTCATACCTTTAATTGTGAAGTACCAATAATAACGGCAGTGGCGGAAGTAAAACCCACTGTAACGGGCAAAGAAATCAAATCCACCAAAGCGCCTGAAAATATGCATTATTTGTATATACAATATAAGAAACAAAATACAATTTCATTTCTCACTTACCCAATCTTAATAAAGCCATTAGTAACTCTACAATACCCGAGATTAAACACAACATTATGGCATAGGCAGGACCTGATTGTAAACCAAAACTTGTATGGCGACTAGTCATTAAAGCCAAAAGGGCGGTGGGACCTATGGTAACTTGACGGCAACTGCCCAAAAATGCATAAACAATGCCGCCCATAAATGCTGAATATAAACCATACTAAAAGCAAAAAAATATTAAAAAATAATCTCTTAAATTCCTTAACAAATACTCACCTGCGGTTCCAAACCCGCTAGTGTGGCATAAGCTAAACCCTGAGGCAGTACTGTAAGACCTACAGTTATACCCGCAATTAAATCTGATACCGCATCTTGACCCGTATAGCCTTTAAGCCACTTCAGACCCGGCAATATGCGATATGCTAATTTTGTGTGACTCATAATGGTTTGGAGTTTTTATTCAAAAATATCTATAATTAAATAAAATGCAATTTAGTTTTATAAATATTTATTATTGCGTTCAACTTGATTGTATCTTTTGTTAACAAAAAAAAAAAACTTTAACAATAAAGTAGATATTGTAATAATATAGACATGACAATTTTATATGATTTTTAAATTAAATACAATCACGATCATATGGAATTTACGCACAAATGGTGGACAATGGTGGGCAAATTAAAATATGTACTATTTTTAATGGAAATTAATAGGATCGACACTTTGAAAATTATTTATTTGCTATAATAATAAGCAATTTAATAAATTATAAATAATAATAGTTTAAAAAATATATAACTAAAGAAATAAACATTATTAAATAACGTCATTACTTATTTATTTAATTAAGATTGCTCTTAATAAAACACAAATTTTTTTAAATTTTCAAATACAAATTTCATATATTTAATTAAAAACATACGTAAAACTTTATTAAATAAACATTTCTTTAAATTTGTTTACATTTTAAACAATTCAAAGTCTATTTCTAAACAAATATTTGCCAAAAACTTCATTTATAAACTGTTAAGGATAAATAATCTTAAAAAAACTCAATTTTCTTATTCCGAATAACAAATTATATTGTTTTCTAAATTAGATTTATATGGTCAATAGCACTCGATTAAACCGATAGGTTAGGTTGTCACACTGTCTTAGATTCATTTGGTCAATAGCATTTGGTTAAACTGGTCGGTTAGGTTGGTACACTGTCCGAATGTTTACATCACTGAGAGACACGTGGATTCATTATATTGTTTCATTTATGATACTTGTAAAGAGAGAATGGTGAGTAATACTCTACTCTTCTTCTTGGCAGCTTCTGCAGAAGTCATTACTCGGCTTGTATCTCTGAGCAATGCTGCTACGTTACTTAACTTCCAAGAGTAAAAACATCACTTCACAGTCGGCAACAGCACCTAGATATGTAATCGGTAGACCGAAACACGAATCTTACAGAGAACACACTGTGGCAAATCTGGTATGAACAGGGTAAACCCTGAACATACCCAGACAAGGAAGGAAAAATTAATGTACAAGACACTTTGCATCCATCACCATTCAACCCAGAACATTTCGCATTCATCCGACACACAGGACAACACAAAATCCGAAAATCTGATCCGTGGGCTACCAGTTCCCATGGTACCGTATACCCGAATCACATAAACTTGACACCAACTCATTTCCTACGCTTAATCCCACAGTCACTCCTCTGTGGGCTATCTGTTGACTCGGCAAGGGCACCGAGCTTATCCCGAATTATAGACCGTATATCAGTCCTTATATACGACAGTATATCAGTCCTTTAATCAACAATCACTAAGAAACCTCAGCCACCACGTGCACCCCGAAAGAACTTATCCAAAAGTCGGGACAAGAAAATGTCCGAAACTCTGCCCTGTGGGCTACCGATTCCCGTGGTACCAGATTATGTAGTTCTTTGGTTCGACCTCATGTCAAATCATTCCAAAGAAAGACCGATGATACATTTGATCATGTTGTAATGTCTACTACAGGTAGCACCTCTTTTCTCCGGAATTGCAATAACACCAAGATGTGGGAAGTCCATCTCGATGAAGGATGTCCGGAATTCTATGATGTTGTTCAAACATCAATTATAACCTTAAGGCGACTTGACAATCGGCGTATATTCCATAGAAATTGAGCTAGTTTCCAGCCCTTTTTATGGGTGATATGGCACATATGCTTCTGTTCCCATATGTGCTATATCACCCATAAAACGGGCTGCAAACTAGCTCAGCCATCTCTTATGGCATCTCTTGTTTTGAACAACAGTACAGATTGATTCCATCACTTTTGGATCGTGTTGAATCAACACCGCAAAGCTTTTGTTTAAGAGATTATCTGGGGGTGTAATAGCTAATATCATCTTGATTTCTCTTAGGCTATTGAGAAAAATAATCTGACTGAATCATAGGCGGAATTAAGAGCAATTTATTGACCATTTGATTGATGGGTAACCAATTCATCACGACAAAGAGGGCTTAAGATGGAGCCGTAGACTGAACACAGTCCAAGAAAAAGGAATTAATAACCGTAAATAATGGAAGACAAAGGTGAAAGAGCCAACAAAAAACAGAAAATGGCGTTTGGCATATGGTAGTGACGAAAATGGTAAGATGGGTTAATCAAACCCCTTTAAAAAAACTAAGAATGCATTTGATCGTTCTAGTCGAATAGAAATCTGAAGATGCCATTAAGCTTAGACCCAGATTTCTCACCAAGTATGGAGTAACTGCCAAGAAAACTGTTTCTCTTAACGGCTATAGCAGGGCATTCACAGCGAAGATGGAAAACCGTTTCTTCCTTTTCCCTGTCTTTGCAACTGCGACAGTACTCATTGAATGAAAGCCCAAGTCGAGTTACGAGTTAAATTCTGCCTACTTCGGTCCACAAGGTGTTTTGAGCGTTTCTCATCGAAAGAAGATTATTCCATAAAATTTCAGTTTTTTGAAGAAAGAATCTGAGGATACTGCTTTTGATAAAACCTAACGGAGTTGCTACTGAAACGGTGTTAGAGTTATCAAGAGCAAATCCCGTTCTGGCAAGCACATCTGCCTGTTCATTTCTATAGTAGTCCCTATGCGCTTGACCCAAACATGGGTCTTGGCAGTATAAGAGTTTAGTGAGAGAATTGCCACTAGACTATCGACAAAAATTCCTATGCTGCCACGAATACTGAGTATCCCACAGGCTGACATTATCGCAAATATTTCAGCCTGAAAAACATTACAGATGTTGGGAAGACTGTGAGATATACATACTTACCCCAGCTTCTTCAGAGAAGACACCAGAACCTAACTTTTTACTTCATACGACATAAAACTTGATGTGTAATAGGTATAGGTAGATATCCGAAGGCACCTAAAATGTTATTACAATTATCTGATCTCTAATCCTCACACAAATTCGCGGTATAAGTTTTTTCCTTTTTTTGAACCATTTTTTAACATAATTTAATATCCATTTATTAAAGTTCTCTACCGCTTGTCGTACCCTACCGCCTCATTCAGTACACTCACTACGGTGTACCTTGATCATGAGATATTTCAATATCACTACTTAGATAAAGTTTTAGCATATGCTTCAGTTTTTTCAGCGGAATATACGATATATGTTTAAGCCTTTAAGTGGATCGGGTTTAAAGATTTTCCGTTATATTATGTATATCTTAAATTAAGATAATTTTTTATAAATTAATCGCCAACTGATTACAATTTAAATTTATTTTTTATACCCTACACCACTTTAGTGGGGAGGGTATATTGGATTTGTGCTGATGTTTGTAACATACAAAAATATTCGTCCTAGACCCACCTTAAAGTATACCAATCGGCTTAGAATCGTTTTCTGAGTCGATTAAGCTATGTCCGTCCGTCTGGCTGGCTGGCTGTCCATGTAAACCTTGTGCGCAAGGTACAGGTCGCAATTTTCAAGATAATTGGATGAAATTTGGCACGCACGTTTTATTTGACCCAAGGACGAAGCCTATTGAAAATGGTTAAAATCGGTCCATTATTTCACCTAGCCCCCATACAACAGAACCCCCCGAAAAGGGCTTCTGAGCTCATAATTATGTTAAATATACAGATATATCGATAAAATACGGCACAACTAAGTTTTATAGAAGTCTTGATGACCCTGCCAAATTTCATAAAGATCGGGCCACATTTGACCCTAGCTCCCATACAAAGTCCCCTTCAGAAAATTACTTGAATGTCCCAAATTAGCTTATAAACACAAATATCGCGATGAAATTCAGCACAATAAAATATTATGTCAATATAAATATATTCACAAAATTTTATCGGGCTTGGTCCATATTTGCCCCTAGCCCCCATATAAAGCCTCTTTCAGAAAATTAGTTTTTCATCCATAAATTGCTTTAATGTATCGGAACAAGGGAATATTGAAGATAAATGCTTTATTATGAAAAATAAATCACATTTAATATTCATAACTGGTGTAGGGTATCATATGGTCGGTCACGCCCGACTATAATTTCTTACTTATTTTTTTTCGTTTTGGAAATTGTAAAAACATTTGCGACCTTGTTCTATAGCTAATACATTTTAACAATAAAGCATATGTTATGCTATAAAAAACTGGAAATTTTAAAATTCTTATCAATGGATAATTTAAAGAGTCTTTAGCACTTGAAATATTATTAAATTCCAATGTAAATATCATAAACATTTTGGCATAACAATTCTAGCAAATGAGACACTCAACTCGTATGCTTTCTCCAGAAAATAAATTTTGATAACAGGTATTTTGTCTGTTCTAAGTTTTATTTTTAACATAATTAAAAATTCTATTCAAGCACAAATATACTCGTGCCAATGATTTGCAAAACGTTTTAACCGCCATCAGGTTTTAAACACGTGCTAATATGAGATCATATTTATCAAACCAAAAAAAGAACTAGGTTGAAAGGTCTAATTAAAAGATTTTAGATAATTTTTAGCAGTTGTGGTATAATTCCTTGCTTTTGTATATTATTTTTAAATAATTATTTTATTTGTATATATTAATTTTAAATTATTTAAATAAATGCCAAATTAATAACAATAATATTACGCCAATTACTGATAACAAAATATGCAAATCATCAAAATAACATTTTGGAAAAAAATCAAATTTCTAGTAAAATTAATAAATATGTATTTGGCATTTGAAAATTTAAAAAACAGATTCACTCCAAAAAGAAAATTTAAAAGCTAGAATTTATCCATTAGGTTTTCCAGATATCATGTCATTTATGACACGCTATAACAGCGGGAAGGTCTTTCGACTTTCGAATTTTTTTCCAAATTTTGTTGGTCTAAAAGTTATACGTTGGTCTCTGGTTTAATAATTTGTTGTTCTGAAAAATCTCCCAGATACTTGTATAAAATAGTGTTTTAGGTATGACAATGTTTGAATAGTAGGTTTATAGTTTAAACATAGTGGAACATTGTCACCGGTTATATTAGATTCTGTTGTTGTAGTTGTAACTGATTGGCTGTAACTGGATGTGAAAAAACTTCCGGTTCATACAGCTGTTGCTGAGTTAACAATCTTTGGCCGATTGAGAATCGGGTCGTTCTGGAACGGAGATCCAAATGTCGTGGGAACGATTATATTCTGTAATCTTGAACGATTAAAAATAACGTTTTCTATTGATTCTAGTTTTGAGACGCCTTTCAGGATTCATCACAAATCTGATGAAAAAACTCTATTTGAGCCATAAACAATATATCCATTAAGCTGTCTGGTTTCATAACCATCTAATTGAGGACATAGCTTCTTATATATCTAGGCCTGCGGCCTTCTATATCGTTAAGATCTGTTTCATTGTCTGAAAGGTCCCGATTTTGACATTACTAAACAATCAACATATTTATCACGGTTTAACCCTATTTCCGTGGGCATTTGTATTGGGGCTATTTGAAATCGTGGACCAATGTTGTCCATTTGTCCAAACAAACTTTGTCAATAGAAACTCACCAAAACATTCCGCATTTTGGTGTTAAAAATATTGTGATTCATTTAGTTCTGAATTCAATATTAGAGTAAAAATGCAGAAATTGGAGAGGGATAAACAAGCGGCTGTCTTACATAAGAATATTCTAAATATGTACTGTCACGGTACAATTATAATTATCTTGTGATAATCTTAACCGTTGTGATCCATTGTGTTTCACTTAATCAAGAGAAAATGAGAGAGATATGGCGCAAAACTGAGATAGATATTGAAATTGTGAAAATAAGAAAAGATATATTTATCCTCACTATAGTCTCCAATCGAAATTTCCCTAATAAAACCTAGCATATCTTATGGGTTACACCCAGCAATACTCGTGGAACTTCTTTCCATGCCATTTTTGTCTGAGTCTCTGTATTCTAGGACAATGGCAAATATTTATTTCAGTCGTTTCTAGTGCCTCAATATAATCGCACAACCTGCAGAAGCCCTTGTCTCTCAACTATCCTGAACTATCTCAATCAAAGACTTAAGACTACATATTTTCAGTCCTATAAGTATATTGGTTGCATCATGTCTTAACCATACGCTCTTTGATACTATGCAGTCCATTTTACCATTCCTGGACTGGTTATTGATGTCTCTGAATCTGTCATAGATTATACTATAATAAGGTCAATATCTAGACAAAGTTCAATTCTTGTAAGTTCGTCTGCATTACAGTGTGTTGGTACCCAACACAGCCTTTTCGTAAAAAGTCTCATAAGATCACTTTGATCTGACAGATCCCAGAGCAATGTGATCCCATATCAATTCCGTCGCTTTCCAAAACAAAAGGATCTCTATTGAAATATATTATATTCGTCTGGAAGTCAGAAGTACCTTTTTATATCCGTGCAATGTTAACATCGTCTTTGGTGGCAGTAATCATTTTGGATCCATCTTGAAATGTTTAACAGATCCAAGACATTCGTTCCTACTCGTAAACAATGTTGTAGCAAACCTACTTTGTACAAAATGCTCGTGTGATTATTTCGCAAAGATTTAATTAACGAAGTAGGTTCCTAACTGCCACACTCGCTGTATAGGGGACAGATAAAAATGTATAATGATATCAAGAACCAGGGTTGGCAAATAGAATTTTCAAATTGTACAAAACAGCATTAACAATTGTACTTTTTTGATTTCATTTGTACCAAATTGTATTAGCCCATAAATTAGATAATAAACAAGTTCATTTGGTCACCAGATTGGTCCATAGACTATACAGTCTGTAGACTCCCTATGGACTACACAATAGAGTCGTCTATAAACTAAACAATAGACTACTTTATAGACTAGACAATATACTAGTCTATAGATTAGAATGTTATATATTAGTCGAAATTCAAATACATAGAGTTGTCTATAAACTAGATAATAGGATAGTCGGTAAATAACGCAAAGGCTACTTCATAGACCAGTCCCTACACTAATTTATAGACCAGACCATAGAAAATTCATTAGACTAGGCCAAAGTCTAGTAAAATGTATTTTAAAAGTATATTCAAAATAGCACTTAAAATACCCCTAAAATGATTTAAAATTTTAGGGATCGAATAAAAAATAATCCTAAATAAATAATAAATAATTGTTGAAAATTATTACTGCTTGTCTGGTTGTAATCTCTTTTAGGTTTTTAAACAATATGAGAGAATAAAAACAAGAATTATATTTTTCCTCTTCAGAATTTATCGAAGGGCTTCCTACCTTTGAACTTTGTGTCAGAAGTACAATTTCAGATTATTATTTCAATAAGGAAATGAATTTTAAATTGTACAAAATCGGTCATTGGTGTACCATTGTACTTTTGAAGATTGAATTGTACCAAAAAAGTACAATTGTACCAATTTTGACAACCCTGTCAAGAACCTTTTGTGGAAACTCTTTATAGCAAATGTGATGGCCAAGAGAGGCACAAATTTGAGATTTATTGAGTTGCTTTCTGAAGCTACTACAATAAAGATATCTTGTTGGCTAGCTACAAAAAATTTCCGGTCAGTGCACAATAATGATGCTACATGAGGAACGAAGGTCCTCCAGTCAAGGAAAATTATGTTATGCTGATATCCAGGGATGTCACCTGAGGAGTCATCCCAACTTTAACATCACAGAGTTAGATGCTTCCCGGAGGCGTGTCAGGGAGATCATAGGAAGATATGTGCCGGATCCCTTGTTCGTAATTTGAAAACAGCAGGTTATAGCCTGAGTGTCGTGTCGGCAACCGCCTATAGAAAAACTTAAATCCCGCAAGCCGACCCCACTATATGCCCAGCATTTAGTTACGGTCCCCATGAATTACTTCGCTTAGCCCAATGGATTTATGATATAATTCAGTAGAAATTGATTGGACTCAATGCAGAACCCCCGCATTAAAATTATATAGTTTAAACTGTTACAGCAACTATTGTTTTCTTCTATAAGTCCTAAAATGATAGAAAATCCCCGTTTTTTACCATATTTGAGACATAATTGCGCGAAGACATCTTTGTTATGACACCTCAAAAATGATCAAAAACGTAAGTTTTTTAATTTTAAGAACACAATATCTCAAAAAGAGAAATTCTGAGATCAGATTCCGATTCAGCGTAATCTTTAGAAAAGTATACTTTAGTCTCTGGGTCTGTGATATTTGAAAGCTTTATTCACTTCGGACATAACAAATGAAATAACACAGATTCTAAACAATAGGTATTACTACCTTCCGATATAAAATTGTTTACTTTTAAATAAATATCTATAAATTCCTAAGTTCTATTTTGCTTAATAAGCAATATTATAGTAATTAAAATTCCATAAATTTAATTTGAAATGACATTAACCTATAATACTAGTATTATTGACACAAACTTCAAAATAAAACTAAAACACCACAGAAAGACTCACCAATTTATAACGAACTGTAATTGATACAATTTCAATTTAAACACTTTATTAATAATATTAAACGAGTAAATTATTTTGATTGCATCAAAGTATTAAAAGCATAATTAATAATATATTTAGAAGTTATTATTTAATATTTATTTTCTTTTTAAATTTAGTACACATTTGGAATGTCTTTTTTGTTTATATTAGCACAAGTGTTTCACGTTTTTAGTTAAAAATATTTTATTTTAATATTTTTTGAAAGTAAATAAATTCTACCAACTTAAAAACACGTATTATTTATGTTAAAATTTGTATAAAGAAAATAACAAAATTTAAAAAATAAAAAACAATAGAACAACTGTTAGAACGAACATCAACAGTTTAAAACTCCGTGTGAAATGTATGACGGACGGTTACAAACTGAATAAAAGTCTAGTCAGATCAATGCGTCATTTTACAGTTCTCTATAAGAAGTGAGTATGTATTTAAATATATTTACGTGTATTGTGTATGTTTATATTAGGGAGTCCCGAAACCGTTCTAATCGCTAAAATATTGCTAGCAGATATCATTGGTGACAGATTATCTACTTCATCAGTACTTTAGTCCGAAGTTTTGTGGAATCATGCATGTTATCATGTTTTCACTTTTTATAATATAGTTGAACAATCAAAGGAATTTTATTCTGAGTTCTGAAATGGATTCGATTTGATATCGATATCAGCTTCAAAATGAAACTTAAAAGATTTCTACTAATTACCTGAATTTACTTTTTATCGGAGCATTGACACTAACATAATGAGGAAGCTGTAATATCAGTTTATAGCAAATGTTTCTCTTACAGGAAAAAGAAGTTTGCTTATTAGTACCAAATTCCAAAAAACACTCAAATATCGACTCTTTTCGTTCACAGAAAACTTTTCACCGCAAAACCTAAAGTAATTTTTATTTACTGAAAAAAAATAAACAATATTGTATTGCAAATTGAAAAAAAATATAAATTTTCTCTTTGTCGATCAATTAAATAATAAAATCTAAAAAATGTGAGTATGAATGTGTTGTACTTTGAGCAATCTTTAGAATTATAGTGCGGTTAGTTCTAAAGAGTGTTTAAAATTATCGATATACAATTCTTTTTGTTTGCATACTTTTCTCCAAATAGTTGAGAGACTCAAATACTGAAATTTTTTTAATTAAATCTAGTCATGTAAGACTACATTAGCGTAATCCAAAACTTTTGTTATCATTTCCAAAAATACAATGATTCCCAATTTAATTTTTTCTCACTCTACAAACTTTTGTTATCACTCGGAAAATCTTTGAAAGTTAAAAAACTAAAATATTAAATAATTTGTTTTTATTATTTTTATTTATACGGTCCCAATTCCACCCAAAGATTTGAGTTTAAATAGATATTTTCTAAATTTTGTTTAAAAAATTCTGAATAAATTTAAGTAAACACATAAAAGTAGTGTCAGAGGTCAAATTTTTGAATATTTAAAATTGTTCATAAATAAACAACGTATTTGTATTTGTTGTCGAGTTAGAAGTCGATGAAACTTCATGGGAATTTGCCGTAAGATCTGAACAATAATACTTTAATATTTTATGTATTTTCATACTACAGTCTACTGTATAATCTAGTCTACAGTATAATCTAGTCTAGTCTATAGTCTAGTCTATAGTCTAGTCTATAGTCTAGTCTGTAGTCTAGTCTATAGTCTAGTCTATAGTCTAGTCTATAGTCTAGTCTATAGTCTAGTCTATAGTCTAGTCTATAGTCTAGTCTATAGTCTAGTCTATAGTCTAGTCTATAGTCTAGTCTATAGTCTAGTCTATAGTCTAGTCTATAGTCTAGTCTATAGTCTAGTCTATAGTCTAGTCTATAGTCTAGTCTATAGTCTAGTCTATAGTCTAGTCTATAGTCTAGTCTATAGTCTAGTCTATAGTCTAGTCTATAGTCTAGTCTATAGTCTAGTCTATAGTCTAGTCTATAGTCTAGTCTATAGTCTAGTCTATAGTCTAGTCTATAGTCTAGTCTATAGTCTAGTCTATAGTCTAGTCTATAGTCTATAGTCTAGTCTATAGTCTAGTCTATAGTCTAGTCTATAGTCTAGTCTATAGTCTAGTCTATAGTCTAGTCTATAGTCTAGTCTATAGTCTAGTCTATAGTCTAGTCTATAGTCTAGTCTATAGTCTAGTCTATAGTCTAGTCTATAGTCTAGTCTATAGTCTAGTCTATAGTCTAGTCTATAGTCTAGTCTATAGTCTAGTCTATAGTCTAGTCTATAGTCTAGTCTATAGTCTAGTCTATAGTCTAGTCTATAGTCTAGTCTATAGTCTAGTCTATAGTCTAGTCTATAGTCTAGTCTATAGTCTAGTCTATAGTCTAGTCTATAGTCTAGTCTATAGTCTAGTCTATAGTCTAGTCTATAGTCTAGTCTATAGTCTAGTCTATAGTCTAGTCTATAGTCTAGTCTATAGTCTAGTCTATAGTCTAGTCTATAGTCTAGTCTATAGTCTAGTCTATAGTCTAGTCTATAGTCTAGTCTATAGTCTAGTCTATAGTCTAGTCTATAGTCTAGTCTATAGTCTAGTCTATAGTCTAGTCTATAGTGTAGTCTATAGTCTAGTCTATAGTCTAGTCTATAGTCTAGTCTATAGTCTAGTCTATAGTCTAGTCTATAGTGTAGTCTATAGTGTAGTCTATAGTCTAGTCTATAGTCTAGTCTATAGTCTAGTCTATAGTCTAGTCTATAGTCTAGTCTATAGTCTAGTCTATAGTCTAGTCTATAGTCTAGTCTATAGTCTAGTCTATAGTCTAGTCTATAGTCTAGTCTATAGTCTAGTCTATAGTCTAGTCTATAGTCTAGTCTATAGTCTAGTCTATAGTCTAGTCTATAGTCTAGTCTATAGTCTAGTCTATAGTCTAGTCTATAGTCTAGTCTATAGTCTAGTCTATAGTCTAGTCTATAGTCTAGTCTATAGTCTAGTCTATAGTCTAGTCTATAGTCTAGTCTATAGTCTAGTCTATAGTCTAGTCTATAGTCTAGTCTATAGTCTAGTCTATAGTCTAGTCTATAGTCTAGTCGATAGTCTAGTCTATAGTCTAGTCTATAGTCTAGTCTATAGTTTAGTCTATAGTCTAGTATATAGTCTAGTCTATAGTCTAGTCGATAGTCTAGTCTATAGTCTAGTATAGTCTAGTCTATAGTCTAGTCTATAGTCTAGTCTATAGTCTAGTCTATAGTCTAGTCTATAGTCTAGTCTATAGTTTAGTCTATAGTCTATACTATAGTCTAGTCTATAGCCTTATATAAAGACGAGTATATAGTCTACGAAATAACATAACATTTAAAAACACCCTGTATTTATAGTAAACATTTCTGCAATCAAGCAAAAAAGTCAAAGACCTATACATTGTTATTGAAACATAAAAGAAGCTGGGTAAGCATAAATTAATGATCGATAAAACCAGTTAATTTTTGTTTATTCAACAAAAATAAAAAAATCAAAGGTCTCTCTTTTTCACTAGAAATTTAAAACGTAAAAAGAGAAATTAAAAAACGTGTAGCATCTCTTCAATACCACTCATACGTATAAATAATTTAAATATAAAGTAAACAATGAAATAAAATAAAATAAAATTAATATTAATTTAAATATAATAAACCGTTAAAAGGAAAGTTGTTTATTTTAAGATGAAGTGTGTGTGTTTGTGTTTTATACATGGCAACACTTAACATAAATTCCTGTGCAATTTTTTTTGTTTTCATTTTTTTTACCTACTCTCACTTTTTGTTGCTGTTGTTTTTTCTCTCTGTTATTGTTTTACTTACCAGCTGATAGTTTTTTTGCACAATTTTTGTTTTATTTAATGTTATTTATTGATTTTTTGATGATTCTTTTATGAAAAATAAAAATATTTTCTATTTACAGATGAATATACACAAATTATTTTGTTTTTTATTAGAAATACTTGTTTTAATTATAAATTTTGTAGCACTTATTACTAGCTGAACGAAAACTGTGCCGAATAGTTTGTTGGCAGTATTTAATGTGAGTTACAGAATGTTAGTAAACCAAGTGTTGCCAAGGCTGCAAAATTAAATGCACTGTAAAGGGATGTTGTCAATATGTCGAAATTGTTAATAATCGAAAAACTTAAATGAAAATGTATATGATTTCAGTAAAAATAACAATTCTAGTTATTGACGAACTTTTATTTTATAGCATGAACAGGTTAGAAATAAACATCTGACATAATACACCTGGAAATATGTAATTTAATTCTAGGAATACAAATTTGGCAACATCTAAAATTACATATTTAACCAATTAACATTTGTCTGTTAATTATGTGTTCAGTTATACTGTTATTAATGTAAACAAACAAACTCAACATTGACAAAATTACCCGCTTTTGTATATGATATTGTTTTATCATAAACACTGTAGGAAAATTGCCGGATAATTGATAGATCGGCGCTGTCAAATTCTATAAATGAAAAAGTTCAATAATCTGCGTTAAAAATGAATTGACTAACTTAAAATTATACGCAATGATATACCAATTAAAGAACATTCTGGCAGCTTTAATTCTAATATTTTACTATTTCTGTTATTAACATGAAACTGCATTATCAACTCTCAGCTATAACTCTGCTTTTGAAATACATTCCATATGCTTACTAAACACACCCAATTATTTATTTTTCTTTTTTTGACAATTTCATAAAAGTTGTGGATTTTGTTTTCAGAATAAGCGAACAGAGACCTCCGCCGATTCTGTTTAAGCCGCCGAACAAAATGTCAAATCCGTCGCTTCCGAAAATTGTTCAGCTTAATACGGCTTAAAAATTTCGCCATATTTCATATAATTTACAGAACATTTTCGCTAAATTTATGGAATTTTACAATATTAAATTAATTTGTTTTCATTTAAGCTAGTTTTCTTTCATCTAATAATAAGCCGCTCATTGAAATTTGGCCGGTTCAAAACTTTGCTCAACGTTTGATTTATATTAGTGTAGAATCGATCTTTTTTTGTAAAATTGATTGGAAATTCCAATTTGGAATAACTGTTCAATCTATCACCCTAATATATACCTTTCGCATGAAGGTGACGACAATCCCGATTTTAAAATATTTGCTTACAAAATTCCACCTTTTAATCTCTCGAATTCCGTTTTTATTTAAAATCTTTGAAAATTTAAAAACTAAACACAATTGATAACTTAGCCGTTTTAAAGTCGATTTTAAGCCGCCGCCGACATTTTTAGCGTCACCCGCCGCCGTCGTTAATATTTGTCGTCGCAGGGCTCTGTTCGCGAATAAACCGAGGATAAAACATTTTTGTTAATTTTTTATTTATTAATTGCGAAAGTAAAGCCTATAAAATCCTAAAAAGTTCTTATAAACTAAACGAAATATAGTAAAAACAAAACACTGCAGTAGATTAAACACTTTAAAGAAAAAATATTGTCTTGACAAAAAAATCTGAAAGCGTAAATCATAAAATTTCATCTCATAGGTGTTTAACAAATAAAATTTCTAAATTAATAAATTTTGCTGCACAAATTTTCTGAGGAAAAGAGAAACAAAAAAACAAATTGGCTGATTAATATAAATCTTGTGCAAACAAACAAAAAAAATATAAAAATCAACAACAGAGACGTTTAGCTTTCACACAAAAATTTGCATACACCGAGACACAAAAATATGAAATGGGTAAGAAATGAAGAATACATTCGATTATTTTATGTTGCTATCCTATATGGGTTGTAGTATAATGCATAATTATTATAATTATAATGGGTGAACATATTTGAATCATCATTGATGATTTTAAATTTATATAAAAGTAATTTTACAGATGCAATAGTGTAAAATTTCACAAAAATTGATTTATGCGTCAACCTTCATGTTGAACAGTTAATAAATCAATAATAATACGCACAATAATATGTTGCAACAAAATACTAGCTACTGCAGGCTGCCGCAATAGTGAAAGGATGTTTATTATAATATTTATACTATAAATACATATCGATCATTTGCTTGTAATGTGTTATAACTTATAATTAGGGCTTTTATTATACTGACATAAGAAAGAAAGTATTATAATCTAACTCCATCGGATTAAATTCGTCTAAAACAAAGATTTTGAAAAAATTTATTTAAAATTACAACTTCTCAAAATAACTAAACTTTTGAAGTAGTTTTACTTGATACAAACTTTTTGAGTTGTAATGCTTATCTAGCAAATGCACTGAATGTGTATTATACAGACTCACAGGAAAACATTTTTGTTATCTATTTCATATTGTACTTGGTTTTGGTTTAAGATATTTCCCAATTGGCTGTTGTTGTAATAGATTGGCTATGACTGAATGTTCTTCCATGGGGAAAAAACTTCTGGTTGATACAGCTGTTGCTGGGTTTAACAATCTTTGGCCGATTGGGAACAGGATCGTTCCGGAGCGAAGATCCAGGCTAAACCACAATCGTGTCGATAGATTATTGTTAATAGATTATGCAGTAAACTAGCTGCTGGGTTTAACAATCTTTGGCCGATTGGGAATAGGATCGTTCCGGAGCGAAGATCCAGGCTAAACCACAATCTTGTCGATAGAATATTGTTAATAGATTATGCAATAAACTAGCCCAAGGATTAGTCTAATGATTAGTTAATGGACAATATTGACTAGACTGTAGAACAATCTCTGGGTTAGTATGTAGACTATTTCATAGACTTATCAATAGACCAGTTTATGAAGTAGTCAGTAGACTACTTTATGGATTAGTCAATAGACTAGTTTATGGATTAGTCAATAGACTAACTAGTCAGTAGGTCAGTCAAATGACTAGTCAATAGTATTGTCCATAGAGTAGACAGTAGCCTGGTCTATAGAATCTTCAATACTATAAGTAGTCTAGTTCATCTTGTTACTCGCTTCACTTTCGTAAGCCTCTATCTTTGGGACAGGATTAGAGTTCCCTGTTGTTTACATTTTCTTATTGATTAACTTTTCTTTTTTCGATATTAATTAATCTGTTCCTAACATCATTACTTTCAAAGATTCTAGTGTTTTAACAGTTTTGCTTTTGTTGGAAGCTTTCTCTGGTGAAAAACTTCTGGTTGATAAAGCTGTTGTTTGATTGTTTGGGAGCGTTCCAGAGTGTAGACACAATTTTCGTGGAATCTAATAACAGTTGTTGTTGCAAAAGTTCGACTGTGGATGAAGGTTCTTTCCTGAAAATAGAATAAGGATAACTTTATCAATTGCATTAGTACTGCCTGTGGGTGGAAGGTGTAGCTAAAGAAACTGTGGCAACTCAGTCAGTCTTACCCATTGTAGACTTATTGGAGCGATCGGTTCGCAGTACAAGTTGAGAAAATTTACCATTTTGTGTTCATTTAGGACTCTTTTACATCTGGACTCAATAATTTAGATACTTCCATTTGATTCAAAATTTCTCGGCAGCTTGTAATTGTCTACGTACGATAGTAACGATGACGGAACTATTGCTGACGAAACAGTTCCTCCTGGGATATTATAAGAGTTGATATCCCATTTTCAACATTACTCAGTTAGATTCTCTACCGAAGCATGTTGGAAAAGAGCATTGTATGTATGAGAAGAAAATACGATGATATGTCCAGTATTCTTTGAAACGTACGTCGTATACGGAAGATTTGAACGTCATTCATACAGAATACCATGCCTTTTTTACGCCTACTTTTTGTATAATAGTCAATTTTAGAATATTTGTTAGTTATTTTTGTCCACTGGCTTTTCAAATAGCGCAACTTTTCTCTATCAACCTCATATTAAAAATTTCAGTAGGTTTTGTAACTTTGAATACATTTTCTAAAATTCGCAATTTGTATAAAAATTAATAAAGTTTGCAAAAAAAGAAAACTGTTTCGTATACATCATCTCAACCGCAAAACAAAAGTATTTCAAAATTACTACAAACATTTGAAAAATATTTTCATAATTTAGTACAAATTACTCACAATTCATAGTTAGTTGAAGCATTTAAATAAATGAATTTCTCTCTTCATGTATATCTATCTTTTTATCTTACTTACAGGCATTTATTGCGCCGAGTTGCAACAGTTTATTGATTCAAGCAAAACAAAAAACAACACAACAGTTTTAAAAAAATATTCAAAAATTATTAGAAATATTACGAATTTTTAAGCTTTTATTTTTATTTATTTTCTAAATTTCTCTCACAGTTTCTGCTTATTTTGCCATTAAACACTACACAGCTAATTGATAAACAGTAAACAAACAAAACAAAATAATAATATAATATTATTAAAACGATTGTCAATAATTGAAATCGAAATAAACAAACCAAAAAAAGTAAATTTATAGCAACACTTTTGTGTGCATTTGCGAAAATAATTTCGACATTGCGATTATTTCAAGAAATCGTGGCTGAAACAGCAACAAAGCCAACAACAATTGATGTAAGTAGAAAACAATATTATAAAATAAATATTCATTTTGAATTTTCAAAAATTGTTTTCTTTTAAGTTGAATCATTACAGTTTAATTTCATTTTAATTTTCCTTTAATTGTTCCTTAATTTTTGTTCTTTTATTATTTATTTTACTTTTTTATGTTGTTTGTTTAAATCATTTTCATTTTGTTATATTTAATATTTGTTGTTATTAAACACGTTCAACGTTATGATGAAAATAGTTATAACAAAATTTAGTAAATAAAAATAATCTTTAAAATGTTAAGATTTGAAAGTCAAAAGCATTAAACAATTTTCGAAACAAGCAAATCAAGTACAAAATTCGCAAAAAGAAACTAACACAGAATTTAAAATTGTGTCGCTATTCTTTAAAATTATTCCAAAATATTACCAGATTCTTGTTATACTAAAACAGATTTGTTTTGACGAACACGATTGTTCTTTATAGTTCATCAAATGATTGTATCCCCCAAAGCATCGCTTCTGAACTAAAATTGCCAGTTTGCGTTCTTAAATCGATATAACTAATGATACAATTGATGTGCCCTTGTGTAGCTTCCACATTTTGCTTGTGGCCGATAGAAGAGATTTATTTAATTGTGTATATGTACGAGGTAGGGGTAATGTATATAATGGCGCCACTTTACGGTCTTAACTACAGATATATGGCACGCAAATGTCTGGCTGCTCAGTCTCAGGCGACACAACGAGTTAAAGTTCTAGGAAATTGCGCAATCCTGATCTTAATTGTTGTAATATAGTTCTTGAATTCCAAAATCGCAGTTGGCCCTAATGTTAGACTCTGTCGAATCTCTAGACACTTAATGCAACGTTGTTTGAGTACCTGCAATTGTCAATTGATGTACGTCGATCCGAATAATAACTTGAATGTCGGAAAGATATAAAAATCGAAACCAATGGACCATTGCAAAACCTACCAATGGCCATTCCCATCTGCTGTAGATGATTTGCAATCTATACTCTCTAATCTGCAAAATAGCTTTTTAATAAACTTCTAACGGATTTCCTTACCATGAAAATTCGTCCATTTCCTTCGTTGCATTCAGTACTCTGAATCTTCACTGTAGCCTCCAGCCGTTAACACCCCTATTAGATTCCTTAGACCACATCTATCCAGTCCCATGAGTTTGCTTTTGCTAATATGTTATTTGTGGTTAGTTTTATCTGGAAATCTATCAGAGACCATTCTCTCCCTTCCATTTAGGTCAACATTTGTCCGCTAAAACCAAGGTCTTCTCAATTTTTAACCCACTCTTAAAACTTCTATGGTCTAAAATTATACTTTCTGATCGATGACAGCTGCTTGCAGATGATTTTTTATATATTCTTGGACTATGAATAATGTTGAAAATAACCCCATCAGACTCTCTTAATGGCCTCCGAGAGAGATCCGGTTGGAAGTTTACAGGCCCTTTTCATCACCATTGAGGTCGTAGTGCAATTAAAAGACTTAAGTGTTTTGATCTTTGGTGCAACACTCTGCTCCTTCTCTCTTGAAAAACAGCGGGGTGCTTTCGTCATCTTAATACTCCTTTGAGTTGACCTGCAGTTTCCCAAGTGAGACTCCTCTCTTAAAATATTCATTCGAACTTTACTACGTCCTGTCAATGTTTACTAAGAATATGTCTCTTCCTTATATTGAACGATAAGGGTTCTATCTTCTGCGATCTTATCCAGATCTTTATAATATTTCTTAATCTTGGTCATTGCCTTTACCTCCTTTATATCTTGGTATCTCTCCACTACAATCTACCGAACAAGTTGTGGACAGTGTCAGATCATTCCAATCTACGATTGACACTTAATCATCTAGTTTCGCAGATTTCTTAAACGTAATCCCTGAGATGTCTTTATCAACCTCTCTTTGTAACCTTCTGTTTGAAGTCCTTTAAAAGATCCATCATAAAGCATGTTAGAGATTCAGTCCAGTTCTTTAGACTTAGCTTCAAGGTTTTCCATATACATAGGTGTGATGTCATGCTTCACGTCAGAGAGTAGAACAAACTTCTGATTGACAATTCCACAAGACCATTTACATTTAGGTCTGTCAGTACTAGCCCTTCATCCATTATATCCGATTTCCACGTTTTATCCAACTCCTTTTTTCCAATCGTGTTTGTTCCTAACTATGTCTAAGTATGGACTGTTCGCCCTAGACACTGATAGGCTAGCCATTTAGACTCTCAACACTGCTTCCAAGCACCTTGAAGGTAAAGCTTTTAATACACAAAAAGCGAACCTCGATTGGCTGATACGTATTATCTACACAGAGGGAAAAAGAAATATACACGCCTGGTACCAAACTGACACCAAACTTTTTCAATAACATCCGTTGTCAAAGTACATACATACGTATGACAACAATCCGTTGCCAATAGTGATCTTACCACGTTTGTTAGCATTTAGACAACGGATGTGTATAAAATTTAAATTTCGACAACGAATTGTTGCAATGTTGACAATGTTGCGTTGTAAACATTACATAGTGTTGTCGTACGTATGTATATACTTTGACAACGGATGTTATTGAAAAACATTATCTTGACAAGATAAGTAACATTTAGTTGGACACATCTCTATAACAATGATTACCTAGGAATAAAGACAACAAAACGGCGTTTAAGCACAGGATACCATAAACCCGATGTGTACGTAAGACCTCGCATGATAAACTGCAAATCTAATTCCCTTCTAGACTCATGCATCCACTGACTCCTTTAACCAATTGTCATATTTTCCAACGAAAAACCTGATTCAAGTTTTCCAATCCATGCCATACATTCCACGACAATGACCAAAGATTGTAAACTCAGCAACACAGACATTACAAGTCTTGCTACTACAGCAAGAGTCGAACATTGACTCTTTGTTGAATTGCTCGGTATAAAGTGTTGTAGATGAGTTTACAATTCTATTTAAAAGAAAACTGTGGGATTCAATAATATAAACTTATCAATTGCAGGTGCTAAAAGTTAATATTAAATTTATTTATTTATAATTTTTCCCCCTCCTCATTTGTTAAATAAAAATTAACTTTTATTTTTATTTAATAACAAACACAACCATATCATATACACACACCCTAATACCCCCCACTTCATAAGTACCAAAGTAAATTAAAATACATTTTAAAGTTTTCACAAATATTCCAGCCAATGCCTTCTGCAGTAAGTGGTTCCGGTGGACACGGCTCAGCCGGTCATAACTCGAGTATACCCAGTAACGAGGAGTGCGGCATACGTGATGTGTGGAAACATAATTTGGAAGAAGAATTTCGTACCATACGAAAAGTGGTGCAAAAATATCACTATGTAGCAATGGATACGGAATTTCCCGGTGTTGTAGCACGTCCGGTGGGTGAATTTCGTTCAACAGCCGATTATCATTATCAGCTATTGCGTTGCAATGTAGACTTGTTGCGCATCATACAATTGGGTTTGACATTTATGGATGATGAGGGTAAAACACCACCCGGCTATAGTACTTGGCAATTTAATTTTAAATTCAATTTGAGGTATGTTGTGGCTAGGTTATTAATATGTTATTAGTTTTAATACGAATTTTTCTTTTTTTTTTTTTTTGTTTGCAGTGAAGACATGTATGCCCAGGACTCAATTGATTTGCTGACCAATTCTGGCATACAATTTCGCAAACATGAAGATGATGGCATTGATCCTTTAGATTTTGCCGAACTTTTAATGTCATCTGGCATTGTTTTGATGGATAATATTAAATGGCTTTGCTTTCATTCTGGCTATGATTTCGGTTATTTGCTTAAGCTTTTAACCGATCAAAATCTACCAGCTGATGAGAGTGAATTTTTCGATTTACTGCACATTTATTTTCCCAATATATATGACATTAAATATCTAATGAAATCATGCAAAAATCTAAAGGGTGGTCTACAAGAGGTGGCCGATCAATTGGAGTTGCGACGTGTGGGACCACAGCATCAGGCGGGTTCCGATGCCCTGCTAACCGGCATGGCCTTCTTCAAAATGCGTGAGGTACTGAATGATAATAATATTAATATAGGAACCACATCCACATTTTTAGATTATGCCGTTGAGTTTAACAACAATAACATTTAATAATCGAATAATCGAAAGTGAAAATAAGGTTACAAATCATATTTCTCATCATGTATAGAGTTGTTCTAAACTCACTAGTCAAGGGTCATCTTAACTAAACATACGTTAAACTTACCTACTAACAAATGTTGTAATTAATATTTCACATCTAAACGATAATTGTTTACACTAACGCAACATATTACTTACTCCTTTCACATACATTCGCTTATTAGTTTTTAAGGACATTAATTTACTGTTTTTTCTCTCTATCTTTCTATACAATACTTTTTTTTGCAGGCCTACAAATATCAAATATTTGTAATATTTCAATATTATTGAAATGTATAGATGGGATATCTTAAGTCCCATTCGAAATGGTTCATTTTATTTTTAATTAATAATTTTCATTTAATAGTTTCAACTATTTTTCAATATGTATACGACTTTATGGACTTTAATCTTGTGGTCGTTAAATTGCTATGAGCAAAACAACAAATCTGGACTAAATATTTAATATTTTAGTTTGTTATTTATTGTTTAAAAGGTAAATACTTACCGTAACATGTTTTTTATAAACTCGATTACATGAAAACTATTTTGAACCCCTTTTTTCAGTTAAGATAATTAAAATTATCTTTATTTCTTTATACAATATTATTTCTACTTTAAATATTTCCCTGTTGAAATCTCAAAACGATCTCTTCTACCTCAAACAAGGTTTTATGTTAAACAAAAATCTAAACCACAAAACTTATTAACTTATATTACTTAACTGAATTGCATTAAACTGAACTTTAACTATATTATATAATTTGTAGTTTTTAAGTTGTTTTTTTTTTTTTTGTTTTTGAACCAAACTATATTACAACAAAATGTTAATTTTCTTTTATTATTTCCACAAAATTTGCTTCTATGTATGAATTGTTAATGAAGTTATTTTTTATTGTTTTCTTTCTCTGAATATTATTTTCTTACCACAAAAAAATAATTGGTTTTGTTATCAAATATAAATTTGAATTAAAAAAAATGATTTTGTTGATTAAAACAAAATTTAAAACAAAAAAAACTCATTGGTTTTTCATTTGTTATGTAATTTCTTTTTTCCCCAAACCATTTCCACATGCTCTATATGAACTTGTTCATTTAAGCCAATGAAACTTCATTAACATATTCCTTCATATAACAAGCTAATTTGTTAATAATTCTTTTATTCCCCATAATTAATAACTTCAAATTAATTGCAACTCATTGGTTAAATAATGAACAAGTTCATATTTTGCTTATATTGAATCTTTCAGTTTCAATTTTGTAAGTATACGTTACATAAATTATTTATTTAAACCATAACTTTCAAAGTAAATAACTCTTAGTTATCATTAATTAAATTTATATATACATGATAAACTACTAAACTAGGCTTTCTTAAAATAGACAAAAATTCAAATAATTGTTGAAAAGTTTCCCAAAAAAAACTTTAATTAAAAACAAAGAATATATATCGCACAGAATAAAACGTTTGAAATTGGATTGATTTTGTTTTCATGATATGACGTTTTTATATTGAAATTCTAATTTTAAATAAACCAGGAATATATATATCGGAAAAGGTTTCATTAATTTAAAATATAATGAACAAAAGTTTAAATTTTAATTCATATTTTCGATAATTTTTAAAATATCTATCTATCGCAATCAATAGGTTAGGTTTCTTAACTTGGGACCATACGATCCTTTTATAACAGAAATATAATAGCAGCCTGACTTGTAATAAGATAAGGAGTGAAGGATGACAAAGATAGAGAAATACAGAGGAGATAATAAAGTAGCGACTAGTAACCTTTAATAAGATAAAACAACAAATATTAGGAGTACTATATCCCTGAATAGAAAGACTTTATAATCAAACCCAATTTAACAAACCAAAGGTGTGTTCTTATCGAACAATAGATAGATCTGTTGAGGCCCAGCATACGTCTCATAAAGTCTCTGTTAAAATAGTGTTCCTCCCGCTTGCTACGCTTGAGGTCATTCACATTATTATGAAAGACGCTTAAGAAGATTGACAGGTATCAAAACTTGACGTACTGTCAATCAACTTAATGATCATGACAGCTTTTGTGAACAACAACAGCGTCAGCAGCCTTAAACTAAACCAAACAAATGACAGCAAATGAAATTTGTTTAAGATCAGATAGATCATAAAAATATGAACTTCTCAGAATACAGAATACCTAAAGATTCCAGAGTTAGACAATAAAATAGAAGATGATTTACGGAAATTATTATATAGAAGATCAGATGCGTTTTTCACAATTTCCAGATCTACAATTATCATTAATAACCGATAATGGACAGTTTAGCTGAAATCTGCGAAGACCTAGTAGTAGATTTGACAAACTAAATAATGCATTAAATTGTTGGATATATCACAGAAATAAGCCCTTGCCAGTATCTGTAAACTTACAATTTCCAGAGCAGACATAGAAGATAGCTACCATCACTTCCTCATCTTCAATAATAACAAGTCATTATATGGCAAACCAATGCGTCTAGCATACTTTTCACATCTATATTGACATGTAATGACTTATAATAGACAGCTAACTGAGATCTAAGAAGAATTAATGACAATGAACAGGATTTTAGTAGGGTAATAACCGGACACTGGTTAATTGGAGCCTTTAGGGGTCGGTAACACACAGGATTTTTGCAGGTTGTATGAGGACGAAGAGGAACTGGAGACATTAGGGCATATTTTATGCCACTGTCCCAAAATACAGAGTCTGAGACTGAAATGGCTAGGTAAAGGATTCCACGATGAACTAGGAGATGTAGCAAAGGTGAAACCTAGGCGACATTATGGGCTTCATTAGGGGAATATTTTGGATTTTCAGATAACAGACAATTAAGAATTTCCCTTCCATGACCACTTTCATTCTTTGTTATCTTTTTGGAGGGAACTCTCACTCTTCTCTCTTTTCTTGTGTCTTTTAATTTCTCCTTGTTCTTTATTAAAGGGATTCACAATGGACCTTTGGGTCTTCGAGTGGATGTATACATTGGCATACAACCCTTTTAAACTAAACTAAACTAATGAAAATGGTTATTGCAATAGTTATCCCTTGTGACCATTCAGAGATTTAATAGCAGCATGGCTATCAGTAAGAGTTCTAATATCCCAATCAGTTGCCCTTTTAAACGCTTATATTTCAGCACGCAGAATACTACAAACATCATTAAGTCTAAAAGAGATTTTAATCCAAAATTCTTCCATGAATATGCCACCAACAACACCATCGGTATAAACATGTAGACAATCGAAAACTAGGGAAAAAGAAAACTACATTGAGATAAGAAACCGTAAATTTCTATTGATAAATGGTTCCGCCATGTAATAATCAATAATATAAGGATTAGGAAGAGTTTCAACTATCCTTTCAAGAACCTATGGAACAGAAGTCCTTAATCTAATAGCACAACACATAGCCAGTTGCATGGGTAATAGGTCCACTTGTAGTTAAGCACATTTAGAATAGTTTTCAAAGCTCCGATAATGAGAAAATCTCAAAAATCTTTTCAAGAAGTAATCCATTTGAGGCCTTTTATAGTGAGTTCCTCCAGACAACTACGTCTTACAACATAATTAGTTACAACATAATTACGTTATTCACACTTCTACGAACATATAAACCATCAGGACTTTTAAAGATATTGAGAAAAGATTCGTACTCCATAATAACATCCTATCTAGGACAAAACCTTCTAAAACCTGAGACGCGTTGAATTCGAATATGACCTCAGACTGTCTACAACACATCGGGGATTTGAGATATCGTATCCTGAAATTTGAAAAAAATGCAATTTTTGGTGCTTTTTGAGACGTTATAACAGCGCCAATTATGAATCAGACTTTATGTCATCTAGGCTAGGCTAAAGGCTCAACATCTGACATATCTTCTTTCATTTTCATGATATCTAGATTCGGATTCAGCTCACTCCTTTAGAAAAGTATACTTTGCTCTCTGGGTTAAAAATTTGTCGGCCTGTGTAATACAATTTAAATTTTTATTCAAAATCTTAATAAAAAGGTGTTAATACTAAATGTTTCAGCAATTTAGATATAAACAAATAAATTTCATATTTTTTGGTTGATTTTAGGTACCGAGCGAAAAAGTATTTTCGTAAATAACATAATGTTGGCCTTTCGTGTACAGGTACATGTAATGTACATGTTACCATAATGTTAGTTAGAATAGTGATGATGTGGGTTTGTGTGACCTTTGGCAATTATACATTTTAGAATAACTTTGCTTAACCTTTTTGACCTCAACGTTACTAGGGGATAGAAAATAATGTATTAGAACAAAATATCATAAAATGTTGCAGAAATGAAACAACAATTACTTGTTTGATTACATTAGAAGGAATTATAATCATCCATAGAACTAGTTATTTTGCCATTGAAATCTTATAACAGAAAATAGCCACTTCAAACAAAAATCACAGAGAAAAGTGTGATAAATGCGAACAAAATTCGACATCGAACAAGAAATCTAGTATATTTTAGCTTAATTTGGATATTGAAATTCGGCCGATGGTTTCAGATCCGTTTGACTGCATAAAGACTTGAAAGAACTACCTCCGAAGGTGACAATTTCAAACCAAATCATTTGATCTCAACGGCAAAGTTGAACGTGCCCAGTTTATAATCAATATAATAAACAAGAAATTGTTTAAAATCGAATAACAATCAATAACCCAAGTATGCTAGACAATGGCATATTAATTCGGTATCGAATAGGTTTGGAAATAGTGTAAAACATGGAATTTTTTACGATATTCCATGAAGCTGGATAGTTTTGTTTATTTATTATGTTGTTTATTTCCAATTATACTAAAAATATTCCATTGAAATAAAAATCAACATACAACTCGAAAGAAGTTCATAAAGGGCACGGACTGCGTTAATCCGATTTTGAACTTTAGAAATGCTTACACCAGCGCGAGAACCTGATGTAATGGGGCATAATCCGATGCAGCTCTTTCCCTAATAAACGTATACTCTGGAACAATACTGTATAATCAAAGATCTATGAACACACAGGGTTGTCTCAGAATTTAAATTACATCCGCAAAACGGACAAGTTAGTTTGAAAGGAGGATGTATATACATCAAGACAAGATGTGAAAATGAACTATCTTTTATTCTAACTAGAAAGTTATGACCTAAATTGGGTAGACAACGAACGGCATAACTTCTAAAACTAACTAGTTCCTGGACAACATGATTGCAATCATACATTCCCCGACAGCCGGTTCTACGTACCAGAATGACCCGAATTATACGGCCAAGGGCTGTCAACCCCAGCAACAAGAACAATTGCAATCATAACACTTCTAGTATCCATGCAGAAATACTTGCAATAGCCCGTAATGACTTCTGCAGAAGTTGCTACAGTGAGAAAGAAGACTACCTCTTATATCACTGTCCCATATTACAGAATATTTGTTCTTAGACCATGGGACAACGATTCTTTGAAGACTTTTCCGGACATTAGGCTAGATCATCTCAACGCCTATAATAGGTTATGTATGTACTTGGCTTAGAAGAAGTCATTCGTGATTTGACCATAAGCGAGATTTTTGGACTCTGCAGTTGTTGATATTAAAATGATTTTCTATATGAGGGATTATATGACGACTAGGGCCAATTATGGACAGATTCTTACGAAATGTGGTATATAGATTTTGGTTTATAAGCTTGTTTGATGATAAATTTTATCACTCTACTTGTATTTCTAAGCCAGTTATGATCGATAAAGTCATTTTCTTAAGGGGACTTTATATGAACCAATTTTCGGAACAGACGGACAGACATGGCTAGATCGCCTAGATTAGATTCTAATGACCAGAATATATAACATTTAAAACGTAACGAATTAGTAAAATTAGCTGAACTTTAGAAAAGGTATTAATGCAATATATTTCAGCGCAATTCAGAATCTAAATCAAAATCTTATGACATAAAAATAGTAAAATAACCTATTGATGATATTTTTATTATAACAAAAATCGCCAATTTGTTGTTAATATAATTTTTGTTTAATAAATCTTCTATATAAAACTTTTCTTTATAGATGTTCTTTGAGGATAATATTGATAATGCCAAATATTGTGGACATTTATATGGTTTGGGTACCTCATTCATAGTAAATGGTGCTAATTTCCACGAGAGCAATGGTGAGAATGCAAACGCAACGTGATTCATAATTGAAATAGAACGTACGCAAAATATATTTGCCAACAATCCAACAACATGAAACAGAACAATATAAAATAATTAACAAATAACAACCACAACAACTGCGTTAATAAAAAAAGAAGAGTTAAAAACAGCAACACAGCACATTAAGAACAAACATCAAGCAAATATAATAAAAACAATTAAGAAAAAAAAATATTTTAAAAGCAGCAAAAAACAAACTTAATTTCGTTAAACAAAATTATCTAACTTAATAAAAAAACAACAGCTTCAACAATATATAGCATGCATGTCTTCAAAAACAATCTATGTTTGTAGAAAAAAACAAAAATAAAATTTAAACTTAAAAAAATATAAAAAAAAAAATCGTAAAATAAAAATATTTAACAAAAAAATTGTAAAACCTTTAAAAAAAAAGAGTATAATATTAAAGTAGTTGAAACATTAAGAAAAAAACACAAAAACATCTACACACTTTTAAATATCTAAATTATAACAACAACAAAAACTAATAATTAAATGTGTTTCTTTAATTTTTGATAAAAACAACAACAACAATTGATTAATTATTAAGTAAGCAAAGCATTATAATAATTACAACAACAATAAAAAAATATATATACTAAAAATACCACAATTATTTTAAATTTATATTAAAAAAAAAAGAAAATATTTGCAGTTTTATTTACAATCTTTTTTTTAGGGTTTGGTTGGGGTTTTACAAAGTAATTATTTTCTTTCATTCCAATTACTTTTTAAATATTTAAATTCTTTTACCATTCTCCTGGTATTTTATTATTATACATTGATGCTATAGCGGGATCTTCAGTTTCGTATATGATCAATACCTCTCGAAACTTATCGAGCAGTTGTAATAGCTGGGAACGTCTCAAGTTTTCAAAATACATAATTTCCTCTAAATGATGTTCACTTTTAAAGTAACCAGCCTGATAAAGTTTAACCATTAATGATAAATCATCAAGATTTGCTGAGGCTGGTATACGTCTTATGGCAGGTCGATCGGATTCCTCAAAAACTTGTATAAGTTCTTTGATTTTTTCCTCATCTTCAATGGATGCTATACTATCACAATTATCAGTACTTAAGGAAGCTGTCATGCTGGAAAAGATATTAAAATGATGAGTTTGATAGTGAGTGAAGTTATAGCGAAAAATGATTTCGTAAGTTATAAGAGTTTTTTAAGGTTGATCTAAACAAGGAGGTTAAGGCAAGGCTAGGGACGCAATAATCTCTTGACTTTTATCGATGTTTTCATCAAGGGATAAGCTAAAGAATTTGCTCGGGATGGTCCATTCCCTCTCTACACGGTCTCAGACAGAATGATATTGTCGCCCACCCATTACTCTTGTGAGTACAAACTGGCTTGTATACGGTTTGACTGTGGCCTATAGTTCTATCTAGAGGAAATTAACTTAAGGTTGATACAGCTGTTGCTGGGTGACACGGATTGTGCTAGATCGTATATCAAATTGTCGTGGGTACACATCCACATGTCTAAATCGTCTAACTCTCAAAAGAACGATGGATTGGACAGTGCGGAGACGGTATTGCACCAATGACAAAGACTTTCAAGGTGACCAAAACTGCAGGTATGGTAAAGTAGCCTAATAAACAACCAGATAACTCGTGGTCTTCGTAAGGACATCATTAAGGGAGGACATTCTGCAATGAGGAGTCTTCTAACCGGTGATGTAGAAATACAGTTGGTATTCATAAAGGTCCCCGTAAGGAGATACTTAAGAGAAACAGATCTGGGTATGATTAACCCTCTTCATCCAACAAGATGGTTAAGAAAACGGTCAACCTGAATGAATGTCTACAGGTGGCTGTCATCGATTGGAATGGGAGGATCGGCACCATTCTATGGCAGCCAATTTAAGGTAGATCATTGACGAAATCGCCGCCTTAAGTGGCAATATGGAGGATGTATTCTTCTTGGACTTGTTAAGTTATACAAATGACTTTAATCCAGTGACAAGGATTGATAACAGCTAAAATCTTTCGAACTGCCATTTAGTTCAATAGTGACCTTATATAGCAAGAATTCCAGGCATCTGTACTTACATCATAACGGCAGTATTGGAGAAGTAGAATGGTAGATTCCTTAATGATTAATACAGGTCAGTAACATAAATCAAGAAAACACATAAAATGCCGAGATCCGAAGAAAAGTAAATTTCTAATAAATGGTCAATGAAACACTGGATTTCATAGATCTTGGTCAGTTCCAAAATGCAAACCATATAGGATATTATAATGTAAATGGTATATATTGAAGAAATTTATAACATATAGTCAATTATAAAACTGTTAGGATATGGTACTATATGTACTTGGTATAGATTAGAGAACTCTTTTCCCGGAAGAAATCCTCTGCCTTAATCATACATGGTATCAACTGAAAAAAGCTTTCCATGTAAGAAATACTATAATCATATCAAGAGAAACCTTGACATATCCTAAAACATAAACTGTATATGGCCAGATCTGACCAGAACTTGATCCAACTTATAAAGCTTAAAAACTTTCGTGAGAACAAAATTTCTTCAAACTTACCTAAAATTCGATTTATGACTTGAAGAAGGCTGGGCGGCAATATTATCCGATGTTGTGGAACCGCCACCGGAAAATCGGTCCTCCGTTATGGAACGTCGACTAGTATGTGGTACAGGTAATGGTTGACTAGACATACTCAACAATGAACCTGCTCCTCTAATAAAAAAGTAATAAAGAGATTTTTTTTTAAATACAAACATAAACAATATATACATTAGGGTGTCAACTTTAGATATTTTACTTCTATCTCATGAATACTATACACTATTAATTCTTAATTCAGGATGTATGACACTCTATTGTAAATATCTCTCATATCATGATAAAGAATTAAATCATCAACACACAAATAATACATACAAATCATCATCACTGACATTACTACTGCGTCCTGGTAATATTATATCATCTTGACCCAAAATAGAACCAGCTAAATCCATTAATGAAGCCGATTCTAACTCACAACCACCGTCATCGTCGTCATCACTATCCAAATCGGTCAAATCACTCGGCATAAATTGTACATAAGTATGCAATTGCATAAGTAAATGATGTTGCAGCATCCACAAAACCATTTGTGCCAGAATACCCTGGCGGGCAGACTGTTGCAGGGGGGTGGTTAAATGACCAATCGAAGTGGGCAAAGAAAAATCAGAGATTACTTCAAATAATGACATGCCAGGAAATCGTACGGAGAATTTTTCCACCAAATGAGATTTTGTGTGCAGGGGTGCATCTGGTGCAATAACATAAACATTTGTTTCACATAAAGGATAAATGATTGTGGCCTTGGCCCAATAAACTAAATGGGAGACCAATTTATTAACATGTTCTATGCTAAGATCCGCTTCAGATGCCATACTTTGTAAACTCATTAGGGGAGTATATACTTCTATAAGTTGCAATAGCATTCTAGCCCCAGCTGGAGGAACACAATCCAAAAGTTCTGCAAAATCCACTAGTAGTAACATGCCATGGTAGGGTTTTAAAGACTTTAAACAGTGATCGATTGTTTCCGGATCCACCATGCTGCCTTTTTTATGCAACTGATGTGCCTTAGCCGGTAAACAAAAGCTCAAGGTGAGATTTTGATTAATAGTGCTATTCAGCAAGCCCGTTGTGCACAAATCATGATAAATGGATTTTAACGATTGCGCTAAACTACATCTTTCAGATATCAAATCGAAAGCTTTCTCTAAAGGCTGCTGTTTCGAGGAAACTTCATCGTGTGTACGTGCCATCAGAACAGTCTCTTCGGTAAGATAACCTACCCTCTGCTCCTCTACTTTGAGGGCTAATCCAAGACGTTTACTTAAATCATAATAGCATTTCACTATGGAATAACTTGCCTGGGCATGTAAAGCAAACACAATATTGACCAGCATTTGATGAGGCTGTGATTTTTGTGTATTTTGGTTATTTTGTGCTGGCATTAAAATTTGTGGTGTACACATTAGTGTTTGATTATTAGTGGAAGCACTCAAGTTAGTAAGCTGGCTTGAACGATGCTCTTTTTTGGACACTAAAGTCGGGTGACTAACAAAACGTACATCATTAACTTTAAGCTCAAATTTTTGATTGCACAATTGTGGTTTAACAGCAAACAAAGGAGCCAGTACTTCATCAGCAAAACCATATAACTGTCCAGCTTTGGTGACAGCAATATTATTACCACTATTAGGAGCAGCTGGTTGCAGTAGATCATCGGAATTTTGTAGAGCGAAACGACTGCGCTTCTTGTGAATCAAGTCATTTCCCGTTTTGGAACCGGTACTCACTATGCTGCTACTACTATCCACATGTGGAACAATAGGTGGAGCAACCGGCACAGCTAGTGATGATTTTTCTCCATTTTGCAATTGATAGGGATAACGATACAACAGTCTATCTCCTTTACTATCCAAATAAACAAGAATTATTGCCATAGGATTTACTTCCATTATGGCAAAGAATAATTATGGACATTAAGAAAATCAAATCAAAGTTCTACAATATCACTACAAAAGAAAAAGAAAATATTTTTTTTTATTTAGAGCAGCTGTTTTGTGTTGATAAATTAAAACATAGTGTTGGTAAGCGAACGAATTTTCTAATGAATGAATTTTTACAGAGTTGCAATTCAAAAAGTTCATTTTATAATTAATTTTTCATTTTAAGGATAAGTTGTATAAATCGAAATATTTTGAAGTCATACATAAAGGGAATTTTGAACGGACTTAAATTTCTAAATTTTTCGCTTAATTAAAAAAAATGATACACGTTAAGAGAAAAGAAAGTGTTTAAGTCATAAAAATTAACCTCATAGAAACTTAGACTTTGGGGTCAAAATTCATCAAAATATAGCATTTCGACTTTATCAAACATATTTTGAAAAAGAGCCATATATTTGCGATATGAAATCAAAGGCTTTCTCTAAAGGCTGCTGTTTAGGTTATTGAGTTATAATTTTTAATTTATCAGCTATTTATATTGAAAACGACCTTAATTTTGTATTTATTTTTATTCGGTTGAAATTCTTGCAATAACTAACAAATAACGCAACGATCACAAAAATTATTTTTTGGGGCATAGCGCTTTTTTCCATACAAATTGGCATTTTTTGAAGTCGTAGAATGCGCTTGTAAAAATAGATTTTATTTTATTTTGAGACCGTTTATTTTTATGCTCACATTCTTAGGTACTCATTCTCTCAACAGCATTACCATAAATTCAAAAAATTTTCATACATTTTATAAACAAAACCATGTAAATAGGCAACAAAAAATAAGAACAAAAAAAAATAAATAGAAATATGAGAGAATTTGTAGTTACTGCCGTAGCTTTAATTATGGGTCTATGTCGTTTTGACAACGCTTTTGCTTGAAGTTACATTCGTGTTCTGTTTCATCATTCATATCGAAACTCGCAATTATGTAATTTTATATAAACTTTGATATCTTGAAATTAAAATCCCACTAAGAACGAAATGAAGTCAATTCATAAATGTATGAATTTTGCCAAAATACACTATATCGGAGTATTGGCCATCTTTAATACATAGTTAGTTAGTTAGTTAGTTAGGTAGTTAGTTAGTTAGTTAGTTAGTTAGTTAGTTAGTTAGTTAGTTAGTTAGTTAGTTAGTTAGTTAGTTAGTTAGTTAGTTAGTTAGTTTGTTAGTTAGTTAGTTAGTTAGTTAGTTAGTTAGTTAGTTAGTAGTTAGTTAGTTAGTTAGTTAGTTAGTTAGTTAGTTAGTTAGTTAGTTAGTTAGTTAGTTAGTTAGTTAGTTAGTTAGTTAGTTAGTTAGTTAGTTAGTTAGTTAGTTAGTTAGTTAGTTAGTTAGTTAGTTAGTTAGTTAGTTAGTTAGTTAGTTAGTTAGTTAGTTAGTAGTTAGTTAGTTAGTTAGTTAGTTAGTTAGTTAGTTAGTTAGTTAGTTAGTTAGTTAGTTAGTTAGTTAGTTAGTTAGTTAGTTAGTTAGTTAGTTAGTTAGTTAGTTAGTTAGTTAGTTAGTTAGTTAGTTAGTTAGTTAGTTAGTTAGTTAGTTAGTTAGTTAGTTAGTTAGTTAGTTAGTTAGTTAGTTAGTTAGTTAGTTAGTTAGTTAGTTAGTTAGTTAGTTAGTTAGTTAGTTAGTTAGTTAGTTAGTTAGTTAGTTAGTTAGTTAGTTAGTTAGTTAGTTAGTTAGTTAGTTAGTAGTTAGTTAGTTAGTTAGTTAGTTAGTTAGTTAGTTAGTTAGTTAGTTAGTTAGTTAGTTAGTTAGTTAGTTAGTTAGTTAGTTAGTTAGTTAGTTAGTTAGTTAGTTAGTTAGTTAGTTAGTTAGTTAGTTAGTTAGTTAGTTAGTTAGTTAGTAGTTCGTTAGTTAGTTAGTTAGTTCGTTAGTTAGTTAGTTAGTTAGTTCGTTTAGTTAGGTAGTTAGTTAGTTAGTATTTAGTTCGTTAGTTAGTTAGTTAGTTAGTCGTTCGTTAGTTAGTTAGTTAGTTAGTTAGTTAGTTAGTGAAAATCTTTTATTTTTTTAACTACTCCTTTCGATAAAGTTGTCTTTATTTGTTTAACAGTAAATTAACAAATACAGCTAGTGGTAAGCTTGGCACTCCCAAAAAATGCAGCTCTACAAGTTAATTGGATTTAAACGCCAAAACCTAACGACGAATAGGCAGGCGAAGAGAAATATGCAAAATTAACGATGAAAGCAACAGCAAAAGAAAAAAACAAACTCAACGAAGAGCCGCCATTTATTGAATTTTGCAGTCTTCGAATGAACGTACGTGAAAAACTTGTACACACATTTTGCTCCAAAAATGGAAAAAATGTAAGTGAATAAAAAAACTATTAAAACCACAAAAAAATAAATGAATTTTAAACAAATTAAACGAAAAGAAATAATAAAAACAAAGTGAAAAAAATATTTAACAAAAAAACTTACAAAAAATAAAAAAAACTACAAAATGTAAGTCGATGTGATAGTGTGTGTATGTTGTTGGTTGATAAAGAAGTACAAAATTATTTTAAAAAGGTGTTGTGCAAAGAAGAAAAATAATATAATAATACAAAGTATTTTACGGATGGGGCACAGGAAAGGGGGGGCGGTCGAGCGACTCTAATAATTATAGTGTTTTATAGAAATGAAATCAAATATATGTAATATATACAGGCATACATACTATATATATACATATATAAATTTGTGTATATTTTTTAATACATATAGAAATGAGGATGAGAAGAAATGACAGATTTTTGTTTTAAACATTTTGATTATTGGTTGTTGTTCGGTGTTGGTTCTATAAAGTGTAATTGAAATGACAAAATATTTTTGTATGTACGTGGGCATTTTTATTAAATCTATTATATATTGTTTTGTCGTCTGCTGAATGTACAAAAACCAATTGCAAATTTAGTGCATTTTCCTCTACTTCTACCCGATGAGGGAGCAGATTAAAACGACGACGTCAAATGCATAAAAATTAGAAAGTTTTCTTCTAAAAACTAGAATTAATAATATATTAGTACACGTTAATATTTTCGTCTTACACTTGCACACATTCAATTCAATCAAGCCCTGAAAAATTCTATATAAAAAATCTTGATATTTCTGTGTATATACTCAATTACATACGAATAGGTACATGTACGTACCTACATTCGTACATATATGATATATGTATTTACATTTAAATATTTTGTGTTTGTTGTAAAAAACAGAAAATATAAAAAAACGCGAAGGGGGGGAGGGGCATACACAAGGATAGACATCAGCAGCAGCAGACCATAAGAGATGGCTGCTTCGCTCGTTAGTTGGGTTGATGGCTGTCCTAGGTGAATTTATTAAAAAAATGTTTAAGAGGAAAAACGAATACGAATAAAATATCAAAGCAAAAAATTGAAAATTTTCAATTTTATTTTGTTTTTGTTTTCATTCTACTTTTTTATACTTCTATTACTGCTTCTTCTTTCAAACACTTTTATCGATATGGCAACACGCTGCAGATTTAAACCACCAAAGGGAATGTGAAAAGTTAGGTTAAAATACAACTCTGGCTGTCAAAAAGTAGTGTGTATGCAGTAGAAAAAGAAGACGACATGAGAGAAAAAAGGAAACTACTATACAACACTACCACTTCCACCAAATAGATCTGTGTGGAGTACATTATTATTTTATTATACCTTTGTCGCGCCAACAATTTTTTCTTCCTCATTAAATAAATAATAATTAAATTTTCTAGTGAATTCAATGGAAAAAATTAAGAAAAAACATAAGCTAACTTTAAAAAAGTGAAAGGATTAATTTTGTGTGAAGAGGAGTTCCATGTATATAGTTTTCAAAAACTGAAAAACTATTTGAAAGCAAGTGACAAGTGAAGAAGAAATACATACAAAAATAAAAAAATAAAATATTAATTGTTCGCAATTACGTCTTAAGTTGTAACAGAATTGAGTGTGTGTGAAAAATATTTAACTAATAACACGTTAGCAAATAAAATTTGCTAAAAAATTTAAACAAATGGCTTAAAATAACAACATTATCAAAACAAACAAAAATGGTAAGTTTTTACACTTATTCTTAACTCTTCTCGCAGATTTTGCAGTAATTTCTGGCGAATATAGGTTAAAAATCATAATTGTTAAATAAGTTTAGTTGTAAATTAATGCTAAATTAAGAGAAATTTAAGAATTAACAATTTCCTTTAATATTTCCGTAAGTTTAATATAATTTAAATGTTCTTATATGTAATTTTCCTTTTTTTTCCCAATTTGACTTGTCAAAGTTCAGGCCGCCATATTGAATAAAAATATATATGCTTCTTCTTCTTCCCAATATTCACTTTAAAGAATCCTTAATTTATACAGAATTTCTTTAAAAATATTAAATAATTTTTATATAAATGACAATTATAAAGTTCAACTATACTTGGAGATAAATTTTTTATGAAATATTTTAATATTTCTTTAACAAAATTAACTTTTAAATACAAAATTTTGCGAAATATTTTTTTACTACGTTTTAAATCATCGAGTAGCCATTTTTTCTATATTTGTCTCTTTCCATCTAACGAAATTTTCATTGCGCTTAAATTAGTTGTCTCTTTCTTAAACTTATTGGTCAACATGCCTTTTATTTGATTCGTAAAAATGGCGTCTTTCATGAATATGTACAATATGTAAATGTATGTGAAACGCGTGTCTGGCGATTTTGCTTAACAAATTCCATACCGTTTGATAGAGTTTTATAAACTATATAAATTTAAATAAATTTATAATATACCGTTAATATAATATTAATATAATTTTATTTGATATTTTGTTCCTTATCGATTTTTTTCTTTTAGTAAAGTATGGCAACATTAGATTTTTTCTTTCTGTTTTCTTTTACCTCTACATTTGTAAAATACATTCATGCATACATATTAATTAACGTGTTTACTGTTTTTGGTGACTTGCGCAGTGTTGTATTTTTGCAAATTTTATTCAATTTTTATTCTTTTTTCAATCAAAATAACAGAAAATTATATTTTAATTGAAAAACTGATAAAAATAGATACATATGTATATAGTATCTAATATAATGTCATGAGTCATAAGAATAATACATCAAAATATTGCATTTTTTCTAAAATATATAATATTGAGGTTATTTTTAGCAGGTTTTCTTTAAATTTTTGTTGTTGTATTTAAAATAAATATGTAGTGTTTTTTTATTATATATAATTAAGGTTATTTATAATTAAAAAAGTTTTCTACCAAATACTTGGTATATTCTTCTCTTGTTTTAATATAAAATTTTATTTTCTATTTTTCTTTGTTTCCTCTATGATTAAGTTTGTCTGTCGCACAAATCTCTATTTTGTGTTTATATACATACGTATAATATGCAGAAAAAAGCTTCACACTGATAATATAGCTGTTTCGTTTTAACCTGTAAAAAAGTTGGGCTTTTGCTTAAATTTTCATTTATTTCATTAGTATAGTTTTCTCTTTCTATGCTTTAAAAGAAGAATAGAATATAAGCTTAGCGATTATTATGTGTTAGTACTTCTTCTTATTATTTTTTTATATTTTCTTTTGAATCGAAAGCAAAAGTTGTAAAACTGGTTACTTTTTCTTTGTGTGTATGTGCTTTGATTATTTTTTCTTTGCTTTGCTTTTCATTTTGTTCTTTCCTATGTGTTTGTTCGTTCGTTCGTTCTTTTTATGTCTCCTCGTTTATGAGTTGCCAATCCTATAAATGTTAAATCAAGAAGCTTGCCATTTTGCTGGTGCAATTTTTTTTGCATTTATTTTTTTTTTATTATATGCATTCATGTACGTACAGTATATATGGATGTTACGTTTTTCTGTATGTGTAGTATATAGTATGTACCTTAGAGTAGATTTTTTTCTCGACTTTCGATATTTTTCAACTAACGAGTGGATTATGTTAGCGTTAGATATTTTATATACCTAACTAGTACAGGTTTAATAAAGTCTTATACGATTAGACCTTATCGCCGTTAATTACTTAAATTTGTCGTTCATATGCTAGAGGTTTCTTTTACATCATTGATTTTTTTAGACTAAATTTATAGAAGGTTCTATTTACTAGGATCCATAGATTAAAATCTTTAAATTAACCAAACAAATAATATATTGACCCACCTCACAGGAGGGGTATGTCAATTTCCGATTAATAATCAAACCATGAAGCTTGTAAAAAGCAGTCTCGTATGTGTAATAATAGACTTCCTCATAAAAACATTGAAAACGTAGAGAAAAGACTCAATCCTCTCCTTTCGATCTCATAATAGATTCTACAATGTTGATTAAAAGTGAGATATAATCTAGTACCTAGCTACATTTGTATGGCCAAGTATTTTGTGTAGACTTGTTATGGTTTGATAATTTGTGTGAGAAGATATGGTAGCAGGATTTCAGATTGTACAGACAACTAAATTTCCTTTAAAATATGTAACGTTTTCTTTAGAATTTGATTATATTACTAGTAGTTATTTCAAATTATTGCTCTAAAATTGAGAATCTAAATAGAAAGTCCTTAAAGTGATGGGATTTGATATCCAAAACTCGTAAAAGATTTTACATGTCTTAAATAAAAGTAATGGAAAATAAATCATATAAAAGTATAATTTGTATTGAATACGGGAAAAATTGTATTACATAGTACCACTACTAGTTCTAGATATGTATATGATTATAGTCTGTACTAGTTCTTATATTTGATAATTTAAAGCTAATTCTGTGGAAGCGTTATACAGTAGATCCTCCATCTATGAATCTGTTATGTTACGAGTTCCTTTATAGAAAAGCTTTAAAAAACGTTCCCTTTATTTAAAACAGTTGTGGAATAGGTTTATTTTTCAGCCATTTCTGGTTTGGAATTTTATTGAGAAATAGTTGGCAGCATTAATACCTACTTATCACAGAATGGGTTTCTAAAATGTTTGTCACATTACTAGTTCCAGTGTTTGCAACTGCTAATTATCATATTAATCAAAAAAGTAATATAATCTAAAGTAAATATTTTTGCTGTTTTGGAGTACTAGTCTAAACTTTGCAGTGTTGCCATACACAACAATAAATAATGTCAGTATTTGCTATCAAAACAATGGATATTTTTATAAAACAAGAAGATGACAGCTGTGAGAGTAAAATAAAAATAAACCGAAAAAACTTAAGAAAAAAAATTTATTTATAACAAAAATATTACAATTGACCAAAATTATATATAAATAATAAAAAAAAACTATTTAATTTATTTTTGTGTTTGTTGTTGTATCAGCAATGACATCTTGGCATTTCCTATTTAAGTTAAATCCACCTTCATTGGTCTCCTAAACCAGTAAACTAATTAATCAAAAACAACTGAAAATTTCTTACAACAGTGGTTTTCGATCATAAACGTTAAGTAAATTTAAGAATTTGTCCCAGTCTTCCAATACTGCTGGGTATTTTTACACAAATATCACTAATAAACAACAATCAATGATATAAAAAACATGAACAAATAAGCTGAACAGCAATAAGAAACAGCAAAATTCAACTCTGTAAACTAAACTATTAGTACAATCAATATACAATAATACCGCATTCCATAGTAAAATACAAGAGAAAATAGTTGTGTAGTATAAATAATAAAAAAAAAATAATAAACCACTAAAAACCAAGTGGTGGCAACAATTATCTATTTATTTATCTATATACTGTAAACATTTGCAGTTACTAAAAAATATAAAATTTCAACATTAGAGGCTAATATTCTTTAATTTGTATGAATTTATAAATTTGTATTTTTGTTTAATTAATTATATACGTATTTCTTTTACAAATGACATTTCTTTTGCAAATGTTTGAGTGATTTCTTTTAATACATAAAACCCGGCAACCACATTTTGTATAAACAAATAGACTTTTTGATGCTTGACGTATTTTATATACATTCATGTACTACTACCCTACCTCACTAAACAAAAACAAAAAGATCAAGAACTAGAAATTGCAAAACAAAAGAGTAAAAATAAAATTATATATTTTTGTATACATTAGGGGCATAACCAAAAAGGGGACTCCTCACGTGGTAGCCTTCAATTTGTGTAGGTTTGTTATAATTTCTTATGCCTTTTACCATATTTTTAAAATCAAAATAAAAGTTATGCCCCTAATGAACACTACATTAATTTATATTGTATTTAGACCTGCCCATTAGAAACAATTTTTAAAGCAATCACACATGGCAATAATTCGCTCATAAAAGTGTGTCCAATATTTTTAGCAATCATTTGAAGATCTTTACTATAGCAAGTATTTAAAAAGAGAATAGTTTTAAATACTGTAAAAAATATAATCGATGCTTTATCTTTCTGTCACTCTCCCAACCTTGAGGGCCTATTTTTCTAAATGTGTTTTATTAAAAAAAGCAAATAAAAGTATTTGTTATTGTTTTCGATATAACAGTCTGTACAATTTTGAATTCTAAATTACTGTTTGCAAATTTGACAACTAATCCATTAAAAAAAATTATTAATATTAATTAATGAATAGAGAATAAAATTAACTTTTTGAAATTTGCTTTTAATTTGTTTGATGGCGCAATGTTGCAGAACATTCTATATATTTGATTTTCATTTAAAGAAATTTATAATTCACAATACTATATATCAGTATTATAGTACATATTTATATATTTATTTTGTTTTTTTTTATTATAATTATATTACCTGCATATGAAGAGTTGTGATTTTTTTACTATAAGCAAATAGATGTTTTTTATAAACATTTACAAATATGTACATACAACTATAGTTTTTTAATACTTTTTTTTGCATTTGTTTTTAGTAAACTAGGCTGCACCCTGTTTTTCATTTGTGTTAAAACTTTTATACTCTATACACATTTTGTATTGGCTGACATTTGTTTAATTGCGTCTAATTTATTTACGATTTTGAATATTTTTTTTTTTTGCATTTGATGTAACTACAGTTTTGTAGTGGAATATTAATTGATTACAACATTTTCAGAATTTATTGAAAAATAAGGATTAATGAATTTATCA